CCAATTCGTTGTCTCCACACTCGTATCCTACTATGGACCTTTCCTTTCAAAGTTCTAAACTCGGTCACAAGTATGGCCATGAAGATAAAGTACATGGCCATGAGAACACTAGTAATGGCAATTTTCGCCGTATATCCAATTGCATCCAATGAAAGTGTGATAGGATAATTGAGTACACGGAACACCCAACTAGCATACTGTCCATACGGATTTTCCTTAATATAATTGGTATTCGAAAGTGGATAATTACTTCTCTCTGAAGAAAGTGTTGGAAATATCAAATTAACCCAATACATGTACATGTAGAAACCAAAAATCAACACCCTCTCAAACATTCGAATCTCAGTTTCACTCGTTTTCACAGTCAAGTAAAAGTTTGCCAATTTTTCATTGAATAATTGAAAGACTGAAGTTGGTGCACCACTCGAAGTTGTTAAAACATTATTGAAAGAGGACATGTTATCGGATGCTGTTGCTGGATTATTTCCTCCTCCAACTCCTGCTATGGATAAATCGTACTGTGTATTTGTTGCTTGTGTTGGGCTGACAATTTGAATATTAGTTGAATTGTTATTGCTAATAGGAGTGGTTATTATGGTTGTGGTTGTGGAGTTTTTGTTGTTGTTGTTGTTATTCAGCTGATAAATTCCGCTACCACTCGAGGAATTAAGGAAATTAATATTGTTATTGTGATTAACATTGTTATTGTTGTCGTTTGGTAATGTTGGAGAGGAAGTTAATGTAATTAGTGGAATGCTCATATCATCGCTTGCTTGTTGTTGAAGCATCGTCGTTGCTAAAGTAGAGACTTGTGGTGAAGATGAAGATGAAGAAGTGTTATCAACAATATTGCTCATCATCCTATGTTTTTTCACTTGTCCTTACTTTGAAAATAGAAACCAATAGAGTTTTCGTACTGAAAAGGAAATACGGAGCAACACAAATCAGTCCCTTAATAATTTACAGAGTCATCATCACATCATCATTGTGCGAGTGTTGTTGGAGAGCTTGTATTGTTACATAGTGTTGGGTATACATCATTTCAAAGTAGTTCGTTTTTGTGCACTCAAATGGAGTCCAAATTTGGATAGCTTAATTTTTTAAAAAGTAAATTACATTCTGCTTATTGAGATGGTGTTGCAAGACCAATAATGTCAGGAATTTGAATAATATTGTTTGGTCAACTGTCCAAAAAATCAAATTTTCAATAGATCTAAGTATCTAAAGCCTTGAGGAGTAATGTAATTATTCAATATGGACAATGTTTTCAATTGTGTCATGGTGCTAATTAACATCCAGAACTTTGCTCCTTCATATTCAAGCTCATTTTCTCCAATGCAGAGTGTTTCAATACAGCAATTATCTGTAACACGGTTAGACTCAATTTGCTGGGGAATATTGCAGAAAGTTTAGTCAATCGATCCAGTTGACTAATTGGTCTAATTCCATCTTGTCTAAACTCGGCCCAAGACAAAGAAATACTTCATCTTTAATACGGGAACAAATAATATTGTTTGGACACTTATTGGTATTAGTAGTTGATCAGTAATTACATGAATAAACAATTGGTTTATTCATCATCTTGATAGATTTTTTCCAAACCGAGTATGGTATTCTTTTCAACTTGAACTGTGAGATTGTGTTCTTTGAGTAAACCGTTTGAGCAAAAGATTCTTCTCACCGATTGCAAGACACGTTGATGATCTACTTGGTCATTATTGGCGACACGAACCTTAATGGTAGCAATTAATTCTTGCTTTCTCTTGTCAGCATCAATTTCAATGTCCTCCTCATCAGCTTCATCGAGTGAGGAACAATTGAGAGCCCAAAAATGTTCACTATGACATTCCAATACTCCTTCAACCATGGATGAAACTTCCTTTACACACGAGTTCAAATGATTAGATAAATTTTCAGGAGTTGTCTGCAATAGAATTTTTCCATTGGCCTTCAACACAGGAAGAGAGAAGAATACGCATGTCATTGTACTCATACAACATAGAACAAAATCAAATCCAATACCAGCACTTGAATAGTAAACAGCTTTCAAATAAATAAAGAGAGCAACGTGAATGTGAGCCTCTCTCATAATGATATAGATCCAAAACTTGGCAGATGGAATCTTTTCTCTGATATAATTGTGAATAGTATTGTAGTATCTTCCAATAGTTGTTGTTTGGGAGGTGTTAAAAACCGAGTTGAAGGAGGAAAATTGTTGGTACCACATTGGTGAGCTATTCATTCTATTCAAAGGAACACTTCCTCGAGAGGAATTAGAAGATGGATTCTTTCGCTTCTCGGCAGAAGAGAGCAATAAAAAGTCTTCTTCATTCTTCTTTGCCTGATAGGAGGAACTTCCTGAATAATTTCCAAACAAGTAAATTGATAATCCATTAATAAATAATCCAAATAATACGAGAAGATATGTGAAAATACCAACTCTGTACTGATCCAATAGTGTGTCAATAGTTGTTGAATGATCATTAGAAGCCCTAGCTGATGAAGGAATGTGCAAACCAACGCCATTCTCTTCCTCATGAGCTTGGGAAGAGAATTTAGAGGTGAGTACATATTGAATCATTTCAGAAAAGATACTCAATGAGAGGAAGGAAGAAAATACAGCATTGGCAAAACGTAACAATACTCTCAAACGTTTCCACAAAGAATAAGTATAGGGTTGGAAGAGTAATCTCTTGATTGAACCCTCCTCTTCCAGTGTGGAATTATCCCCAAATGACGATGTATTATTTAGTGATGATGTTGTTGATCCGAGAGGAGAGTCAAAGGTGTTGCTATTATTATTATTATTGGGAACAGAGTTTGTCTTGAATTGGCTCGACTTGTTAATGACACTACTGCTCGACCCCTGTAATGTATTCTCTTCGTGTGTAGTCTTGATGTAAATTACAATTAAATCGATCAAAAACATAAATCCTCTGTGGAGGAGATAAAATCCAGAAAATAATATTAACAAGCTGACCATGAATCCGTGATTTCTAAAGCTTTGTACAATATTCTCTTGTTCTTCATTGTTAGATTTGGCAGATTCGTGATTATGTGTACTGCCATACTGAATCATACCAATGAAAATTTCCAAAATTGAAAATGTTAAAATGATAATGCAAAATAGGAAATGTGTCTTCAATTGTTGATGTTGTTGGAAGGAGAGGGAGTAATTTCTTGATGAACTCAAGGAGAGGGGAGAAATGAAAAACGAAACAAATTGTTGAATATTTCCCAGCAACCAATGTGCTTCAGGATTAGTATTCTGTAAGGATTGAATCCAATTGGACAAACTGGTCAAATTGTCGGAAATATTCTTCTTTGTAAATAATTGTTTGTATCCACCAGTGGTAATTAAATGTTTCAAATTCAAGATAAAACCAATCACAAACACAATCAATGTCTTGAACCAATTTAAAAACATGGTTGAAAATAAATGTATTCTGACAGACATATCTTGAGCAATAACAAGAATAGGCATGTCACCTTCATCTATTTCTTGTCCAGAACAGAAAATTCTTTTAAACGATCTAATTCCTCTCTGTAATCTTCTCCAAACATTGTTACCCAATTGCATACTTTTTGCTTTTCTTTGGTCATTTGGAATATGATTACATTGTTCATTACATTGATTGTTGTTGTTGTTGCTGGAATTGTTTTTGTCGTCTATTACTGGTACTGCTGCTACTACCAATTAATTGTGGAGAGAAGGAGAAGGAATCCCGTGATGAATCAGTCAATTGTTGTTGTTGATTGTTATTATGAGAAGGAGAGGAGGGAATAAAGAAACTAATAGCCAAATCAGAGTTGCTATTAATTCCACTGTTTAAAGATGGTGATGATGAGGTTGCTATAACAACATTTGCTGATGTTTGTGTGGAATTGAAAAGATCATAGGGATTTGGTACACGGGCACTTGTTGTTGTAATATTCAAGTGAGAAGTGGCAGTACTACCCGAGGATGATGCAGAAGGTGAAGCAATCCTCGCACTACCTGCCAATGACAGTGGTGGTACGGTTATCAATGAAGCACCACCTTGTTCTGGTGATTTTACTCCAAATCCACCAGTAGCAATAATGGTATCATTTGGTATTGTTGTAGTTATTGTTGGCGAAGAAGAAGAATTGGTATCAACAGCAGCAGCAACTACACTCACTATAGATCCTCCATCATCTTCATTGTTGTTATTATTTGTTGTACTTCTACCACCATCAACAATTACATCAGACACCTTCGGATGGATTATTGTTACTGTTGTTACTAACATCCACTTGCTGTGATGGAAGCGCGGAGGTGTTTTCCATTTTTTTCTCGGATGATGACGATATTTATTGTGATGATGATAATATGACATCACCAACATTGATATTCTTATTGGTGGCAACAGAGGGATTATTGTTACTTATTGGATAATATTAAGATGAAATGGTGTTGTGAAGAATGAATAAAATTTGAATAAAAAATTGTTGGTTGCATTGTTTTAATAATTAAATGGTTGTGTAAAAAGTTTTGATAATAAATAAGGTTTTCAGTGCGCCTTTTACTAAATAATTTAAATTTAAATAGTCCAACTTATATTAATATCTAATAAGTATTTAAATAAATTTTAAAATAAAAAATAAATTTCCTTACCAGATTGAAATCCAAAATTAGAACAAAAAAAATGTTGTTCAAACAATCAGAAGGCACTTCCAACTCTTTTTCTTCGTCGGAAGAGGCCTCTTCTTCCTCATCCATGAGTGATGATCAAAATACTAATAACAATAATAATACAAATCAGAATAATAGTGATCACGAAGATCAACATGAGGATGATGAAGGAATTAATAGGAGAAAATCATCAACTAGTTTTAGAAAATTAGTGGAAAAGAGAAAGTATGGAGTGATGGTAAGTCTTTCATTGAATGAGTTTAAATTAATGAATTAATAATATTAAGAATGGATCGGAATTTTCTGATCAAGTCTATTCTTCATCCTCTATCATTCAATCATTGAGTGCTAGTGGTAAATTAATTGGCCACAAGGTAAGCTTACTTTTAATCATTAATTGATCAAATATATTGAATCATTCAATATAATAGGGTTGTGTCAATTCTATCAATTTTAATGTGTCTGGTGATTTGATTGTAACTGGAAGGTAAGTTTTGATTAACACATTCATATATGAAAATCAATATAGTGACGATACAACTGTAAAGGTGTGGGATACTTGGACTGGAAAGTGTTTGAAAACATTTGGTGGACATGTTTCGAATGTTTTTGCAGTTTCATTCCTTAATGGAAATGATAATATGGTGATTAGCGGAGGAAATGATTCAGATATTCGTCTATATGATGTGGAAAGGGGATCATGTACTGTTTTTCAACATCATAGAAAGAAGGTACTAAAAATTGCATGTCACTCTGCACTTCCAAGTTGTTTTATGAGTTGTTCTGCTGATGGAACCATTCGTTTGTTTGACACACGTTGTAAATATGAAAATTGTAAAATAGAGCAGGATTTAAGGTTAAACCCCAATATAATAGATGCCTACGATCATGATATGAATGTTGCTCCTCAATACAGTGGTGGAGGTAGAAAGAATACAGTCATTTCAAGAGAAGTTACTGAACCTTCATTGATTGTTGATTTTGAAGGTGAAACCTTGTACAGTGTAGATATTAATCCATCTTGTTCGAATGAGTTTATTGTCTCATCAGAACTTTCAGATACTCGTTTATTTGATATGAGAAAAGTTGGTAATCATTCATACCAATCCTACTTGAATATTTTCAGAAATTTGGAAGTGGAGTCGGCTCCAGTTTCTGGTAGTAGTTTTTCAACGAATGGACGCCAAATTGTACATACTCATTTAGGAGAAAAGATTTATACCTTTGATACGTATCATAATTTTGAGAAGGATGAAGGTCTTAATTATTCAGATCAAGAAAAAGCAGAATCAGATGTAAAATCATACCAGAGAAGATATCGGTAAGTTTACTAATTTATAATATTAATTTTTAATTATTTCATCTTAATTTGTAGTGGTCACGTATCTGAGGATACAATTAAGGGAGTTAGCTTTTTCGGTAGAAATTCTGAATATGTCATGTCAGGTTCTGACAATAATGATATTGTCATTTGGGATAATCAAACAGGAGAACTTGTGAGAATTTTGGAGGGTCATGGTGAAACAGTCAACACTGTTGTTGGCCATCCAAAATATCCAATCATTTGTTCTGGAGGTATTGAGGACTTTGTGTATATTTGGAAACCATCTGCAGATAAAATGACTTTATCTGAGGAGGAAGTAAAAAAAAGAAAGCTGGACATTGAAAGAGCTCTTTCCAATGAATCAACTGGAGAATATTCATCAAATGCATTCGAGTTCATGATGGCCTTTCATGAACTCTTAAATTCTGGAAATCCTAATTGGCAACGAATATTATTAAGACATATTGCCATGACAGAAGAGGATGATTCTGAAGAAGAGGAAGAGGATGATGAAAATTAAATGTTTTTTATCAATATAATAGACTACTTTTCTGTAGCAATATATACACCATTCCAAGAATCTGGAGGTGGTTCAAGCAAATAAGCTCTGCATCTCTCTGCCATTTCAAGAGCTGCTGAATCTTGATTATACTTGTCAGCATACTCTCTGAATGCCTTCTCTGCAACACCAAACTTTTTCTTCAGGTACAAGTCTTCCAGAATGTTATTGTACAATCTGCAATAATCAACCTTATCTTGTGGAATCATAACCGAATCTCCTTGGAATGGTGACCATTTTCTAGCAACAATTTCATAAACTCTAACACCAGTTACTTTACCCTTGACAGCGACCACATCTAACATTCTGAAAAGGAACAAGTCTTTGACAATTTCATAACAAAACTCTGACACCATAATGTTAGTTCCATACACCTTATTCAAACCTTCCAATCTAGAAGCAAGATTTACAGAGTCTCCCAAACAAGTATAAGATAAACGATATGTTGAACCAATATTACCGACAAGGACATCACCACAACTAACACCCACTCTAGTGTAGAGACCTGGCTTGCCTTCCTTTTCTAATTGTCTATTATAAGGCTGGAGGGATTTTTGCATTTCGAATGCAGCATTGCAACCGAAAAAGACATAAAAATCAAATGTATCTGGAGCACCAAACAAGGCCATCTAATATTATTTCATTGAAAATGGTTAAGCATTGCACAAGTTATTAAAACCTACCAAAGAGTCGCCAATATACTTATCCAAAACACCTCTATTTCTATATACAACTTCAGAGGTAACTTCAAAGTATTTACCCAAGATGGCAATCAATGTGTTGGGCTCTGTTGCTTCACAAATAGTCGTAAAACTCTTAATATCTGAAAATAGAATGGCAATATGTTTGGAATCAACACCCAAATCAAACGATGCTGAATCACTGCCAATAAATTTGGAGACAATTTCTTTTGGTACGTATTTCATGAAACCATCGACAGCCAAAGACATTTTAGTAAAGTGGTTTCTCAATTTCTTAACTTCGTGGAAGAGAATTAGACGCTTCTTCTTTGCTTGAACTTGACCTTTACCAAGAGCGTCCATATCATTTCCGAGCGAAACAAGAGGGGCTGTAATTAACATACTCACAACGACAGCAATAACTAAGGAAACAAACAAAATGATACAGTCAGCAATCAAGACGATATTTCTAAACCAAATAACAGAACCCATAAAATCGTCGACTGACATGATTGTTAAGACCTTCCAATTAAGGTCATGTTCATCGTCTACGGATTCCATATTCAACAAGTAACTGTTACCATTCACTGTGTATTGATTGTCATGGCCTGTGAAATCTTGCAGATTACCCCCATACTTGGTCATAAGTAATTTACCAATTTCCTGCACATCCGGCAGTGAGCTTTCATGAAGTTTCTTTCGCACCAGTTTATGAGGAACAATTTGATCATAAACATATAAAATTTCTTCGTTTGGTTTGGAGCAAGCAATCATTTCACTGGTTAGAGAAGAAACCACATACACCATTGAGTTGGGACTCATTTTGACACTTGCCAAATAGGCATTAATATCTTTGACAAGCAGATCTGTCGTTACCACATATTGAACATCTCCTGTAGCATTCAGAATTGGATGGTATGCTGTAATCCAAACACTTTCTACATTACTTGTTGCATACAAACTTGTCCATCCTTTCTTTTTTCTTTCTAAGGGGAAAGTCCACCATTCGAAACCGTACACAATTTCAGCATCCAATGATTGAGGTTCTTTTCTGCTCAAATTATACCTAAAATCACTAAAAATTGGTTCTTCAGCATAAAGAACACCATTCTGATAGTACTCTATTGTACATGCTGTCGTATTACTCAATATACCAAAATAGTAGTCATCTTTGTGAGTGAATGAGGCATAACGAAGTCCAAAACCCATGACCATAGAGTAGAGAACTTGAATTCTTAGATTCCAATCAACCATTTTGGGGCTCAACTTGTCAAGTGCAGTAAAACTGTTCGTTACACTATCAGTAATTTGGAACGGTAGTTGAATAAAGTTATTCACGAATTCAACTGTTCTCAGCTTTGTTTGTGATCCCAGATTGGTAGTGAATTCATTAATAGATGCACCTATAGTTTTCAATTCATTATAAGAATCAGAAATTTAAGAAATTGATTGACTAAAAAGACATACCTTGTAAAACAATAGTAGCAACGAATATGGAAATAGTCGAAATAAGGATCAATAGAATGATAATCACAGAAAGACAAAACTTAATGGAGAATATTCTAGATACCAGAGAATTCAAATAATTTTTCTCCTTCTCCACTTTTTTCCCCTTCTCCAGTGTGAGATCTTCATCTTCGGCTAGTACTTCTTTAAGCTTTTTCTCATCTTCTGCACTTGCAACGGGCACTATCAATTTACTATTGCTTGCCTTTCTTGTGGCATTGCTCTTTTGCTTTTTAACTTCCTTCTTATTTGTTGTCTTTGTATTCTTTCTAAGTGATTCCTTGGTCGTTAAGGACTTTTTCATAGGTGATGATGGTGTGTTCGTCGACACAACAGCAGCCTTTGATAAATTATTGCTGCTACTACCGTTGGTACCAGTAATATTATTACTACTACTATTATTATTATATGCAACAACATTATTATTTGATAAATCAGTGATGGGTGTGAGTGTTGTTATTGGGGTTACGGGCGATGTGGTCGATTCATCATTATTATAATCATTAAGGATTTGTAATTCCGAACTGGTTGATGTTACCAGAGCTGCTGCTGAGGAGGAATTATTGGTTGATTTATTCTTTTGGGCTACTCGTGTGACCATATTGATGATAAGGCATTTATTTTTTCTACTGCTGTTTTTATTGTTGTTGGTTTTAAGGTTCGTTAAGGTTCGGTTTTGAGTTGTTTTTTTATTGTGGAATATTAAAAAATTACAGTAATTTCCATTTTGAAACCTGTTACTAACTTTTTTGGATACACCATAGTGTATATATATTGGATTAAGGCACTTTCAGTCCATTAATTTTCAACGGCTTGTTTTTACAACCGTCCCTCAGTGCCAATATATTAAGCACTTTAGAATCAATTCCTATAAGGAAGATACTCCTTCCAGCCATTTCGAATTTTATTGAGAGTGAACATTTTTCTATCTCCAGATAATTATATAGAAATAAGAGTACAGTTAAACAACATTGTAATCAGCTTGTCATGTTGCTGGAAAAATAATGATTTTCTAACTTTAAAAAAAATGTCATTACTTGATCTTCCCCTCGAAGTTGTTATTGATTTTGTATTTCCCTTCCTGACGGATGGAGAGTTGATTCGGAGAACAAATTTTACAATCAAAAATTCGTGTGCTTTTTTTGAATAATCGCTTGCTCCCTATTAGATGGATGGAAGGGAATTATAGAGATTCACTCTTTAATGATCGTGGAGCATTGTTTAGATTGTTGGATAAATTGAAAAATGTTGAGTATTTGAAAGGAATTTCAAAGACTGGAATCCACAAATACTGTCAAATATTCAGTCAGGATTCTGAATTTCTCTATGAAATTATTTCACATTTACCAAAATTAAGAAAGATTTTTGATAAAACTTATAGCATGGATTTGATGAAAATTGTGACAATTTGTCCAATATTTGAACATGTGCATTATAGCCAAATGACAGACGAAGAAATCAAAGAATTGAACCCAAAAAGATGCAAGATTGCAGATGTTTTCGATAATATCAATTCATGGGAAGAAATCAATCTTGTTTTTCATTATTTAGAGGAGATTAATTGGTATCCCAGAGAAATTAATTGGAAACTATTACAGAAAGAAATTACATTTAGAATTGAGCATAATCGAAAAGTTTTGAAGGAAAAACAAAATGCTGATCTCTATCCTGAAACCCTTCGAATTAACTTTCATGATTGGAGTGAAATTATAACATGCCCTCTTTCCACAAACATTCTTCTTTGCATTGAAACTGAACACGTCAAAGTAATTCAGCCATTAGCTCCATTTTGTGAAAGTATTAAATATTCTGGAAGCATTAGAGACCTTATCAAGTTACCAGAATATGATTGTCAAGCCAAAGAACTAGATTTATCAGGAAAGCGTTTGAGATTTGACTGGGTGGTGCCTAAAAACTCTACCTTGACAGCTGTTGTAAGAACTGACCAAAATTTTAAAGACCTTGAAATGGATCTATACAGAAAAGTAATCATTCAAATACTCCACCGAGTGAAATCTTTACAAGTGGTCAAATTATCCCTTCCATTCAATATTCTTGTCTTATTTGGCAATGACTTGAAACCAAACCTATCTCATTACAATTTGGAAAAGCATGTTCAATTAGATTGGATTCCACTCAATTTTTATGCATCTGTGAGCACTTTTGAAAGTGTTCCTCTATTGATTCTAAAGAAGAGATTGAGTTGCCCATTATATAAGGAGCCGGAGCATTATGAATCGATTGACTTTTCTGCTTTGGATTCATTTTATTCAACTCAAACAATGACAGTATTAGGAACAACAAGCAATACTCAATCAAGTGGAGGTTTTGGATTATTTGACTTTTAGATCAACTCAACATCCATCTCTTAATTCTTCAGAAGCTTACTACTTCCATCTAAATGTGACGCCTTCTCAATTCATTGAGAGCGTACAGTATGGTTTATTCGGCTTTATATCCATTATGAATGATAGTCTGAATAATTATCAAAGCTGCTTAGTTTTAAATAGTTTCGAAATCCACTGTTTCAATTCTTGTTAATTTGTAAGCTTTTGATTCATTAATCTTTACAATGACAGTACCATTAATATCCAATTTTTCAAATTCCTCTCGTAACTTATCAAGTGTCTCCTTATCCATGTTTGTATCTTTAGCATGTTGTTCCAATTCTTCAACAGAAAGAGCAACCAGTGGAAATATTGTGTATCTGGTTTCTAGAATGCTTTTGTAATGATCAACTGCTGAATCTATCAGTAAACTCATCAAGAACTTGGGAGCACACTTGGCTTCTATTTTTCTTGCTTCGATCAGTGTTTGAAAATAGGCATCTCTATTCTTAAACATTGGAAATGGAAATGGACAACACCAGTCCAATATTCTCTTTGAAATTAATCTACACAGTCTTCCATTACCATCTGGGAAAGGATGAATGTCGACAAAATGGAATTGTGCAAAGGCAGCTAATGCAAATACATATAAAAGCTGTTTTTCACAGTTTTCAGGATAGCATTTGGTAATTGCTTGACTGAGTGAGTAAACATCATTGCACAATAGTCTTGTGGTTGATTTTACAATAGTGTGTTTAGGATAAGTATGAGTAATTCCATTATATGAAGAAGCTTCGCTACCATGATCTCTATACTCCATTTTGGCATTTGGTATGACAATGCCAAACCATTTCTTCAAGGATGATTCATCAAAAATTACAGAGGATATCATCTTGTTTTTGTAATTTTCCTTTCTGAAAGTTTCGTTTAATAATGACAATGTGATCATAACAGCCTCGATCTCTTGTTCGTTACTGGAATCCAATTGATTGTTCAGAATCTTTTCCGTGTCTTCAAGTGAGCTTGGTCCAACATTTTCAATCATATTAGTATAATATATCCATTCACAAACCGAGTGAGGAATTGAGGACGAAATGAGGTTTTCATTACCTTCAACCTCTTCTAACAGGCGACAAAACTCTCCAATTTTATTCTCTTCAAACTCATCAGCAAATCCAAGCAATTCCTCTAAATAAAATCTTGCTTTTTCTTCAATATCTGCAGGTGGTGTGCCGAGCTTTTCGTGCACCTCCATCAAACAACAACTTTGAGGACCATTATCAAGGCACGATAAATATTCAGTGGTGTGCATTTTTTTTGAGGTGTACATTTTGATAAGGAGAAAATAAGTAAAAGTTTGTTGCCTTAGTTGCGTGGATCTATTGTTGAATAAACAACTAAATATTATTGGAATATTTTTAATTGTAAAAACGAAACAAAATGAAACAATTGAATGCTAGAGGATTATTTGAAAATTCTAAAGTGTCGGAAAGTAATCATCAGTGTGTTTTAGATTTATCCCTCTCTTCAAAATTACTTTCCACTAAAATTCAAGACATTCCACAGAAAGATAAATATGAAATAATTATAAAACCACTATTCGAATATTGTTTCGGAACGAGTGATGATTCTGTTTGGGAGAAACTAAATGATGATGAAGAGGAATACGAAAGTGATGATAATGACCACGATGAAGAGGAAGATGAAAGAATTGATGAAAATAATGACCAAAATGACACTAGTCAAATAATATATTTAAAGATTGATTGGAACAGAGATCGAACTTTTATTCATGGGCAAATATTCAATTTGGTTGTTGGTAAATTTCTCATTTTGGCCAATAAGCTTGGATTGTGGAAGAATAGATCATTTGTTTTGACTACGACCGAATATAGAGATATTAAAACACTCAAGTATGTGGACGATAATTTCAGGAATGATAGGGAAATTGTAATGGCAGCTGTCAACGAAAATGGACGTACCCTTAAATATGCATCGAGTGAATTGAGAAATGATTTTGAAATTGTAAAAACAGCCGCTCGGAATAATCGTCGAGCACTGTGGTATGCATCGAAACAATTGAGTAGTAATAAGGAAATTGTAATGACAGCTGTTAAAAGTAATGGACTATCTCTTGAATATATGCCTACACAAATTAGAAATGACAGAAAAATTGTTAAAATTGCTATACAAGAGAATGGTAATGCACTTGGATATGCTTCAAAAGAATTGAAGAGTGATAAGGAAATTGCCCTACTTGCTATAGAATCAAGCCCAAAAGCATATGAATGTGCATCTAATCAATTGACGAATGACCAAGATCTAATTCTTAAAGTGTTGTCCAAATCGTGCGACTATATTTTCGGTATTGACCAATCAATTAAGCTATTTAAAAACGATAGAAAATTTATACTTGCTATTGCAAAGTTGGATGGCCTTAAAGCCCTTCGTAATGCTTCACTGGAATTGAGAGATAATAGAGAGATAGTAATTGAAGCAGTTCAACAAAATCCAAATGCTTTGGTCTATGCATCTAGTGAATTGAGGAATGACAAGGAGATTGTGAAAATGGCAGTAATGGAAAATGGAAGCTGTTTGACTTTTGCATCAAATGAATTGAAAGATGATAAGGAAATTGCGGAATTGGCATTCAAATCTTCTGAAATTGCTGTTCGATATTTTTCTGAAAGATTGAGAAATGATATTGAATTCCTGAGCGGATTTGGAAAGAGAGGTTATTTATTAAAGATTTTACCAGATCATTTCATGAATGACAGAGAAATAGTATTGGAAGCAATCAAACTGGACCCACAAATTATTTTGACTCTTCCCAATGAATTGAAAAGAGACAGAGAATTTATATTGCAAGCTGTAACAAGATGTGGTATGGCACTTCGTGGAGTGAGTTCAGAATTTCAAAAAGATAGAGAATTAGTTTTGGCTGCAGTAACACAAAATGGAAATTCAATCAATTTTGCCTCACAAGAAGTTTGGAATGATAAGGAAATTGTTCTGAAAGCTGCCGAAACATGCAATCAAGAACTATTACTTAAATTACCAAGTTTCGACAAACAAATTTACCTGCAACTCATCAAAAAACGTGGAGGTGAATGCCTGAAATATTTTCCAAGAAAATTTCAAATAGATAGAGAAATTCTAATGGAAGCCTTAAAAACCCATCCTAAAACTGCATTCCTCAATGCTTCTGGCACGTTAAAGGTAATGGATCGAGTATTTGCTATGCGAGTTGTGAAAAGAGATGGCATGCTTTTAGGTGAAATGTGTTCAAAACACAAAAGTGATAGAGAAATAATTTCCTGTGCAGTCAAACAAAATATCAAAGCACTGAAATATGCATCCATTGATTGAATTTGAATTGAGGAACTATAAGAAACTATTCAAATTTTCAAAAAGCCACAAACATTTTTGTGGGTTATTAATAAAATTAAATTGAAAAAATAAAAATACAATTTTGCAACAGCTCGGAATTCGGAAGCACTTTAAAAAAAACACACAACACGTTTTGGTGGCTTGTTTGAGAGAGTTTCTTTTTTTCATCATCATCATCCACTCACGGAAAAGATATCACTGAGATTTCTCAACACACACAAATTTTATAGTAGTATTTATTAGTATTAATAATATTGTTATTATTATTGCGAGAATATATCATCATACAACAAAATCAACAAACACAAAAAGATGGTCAGAGAATTAAAATCCGATGCTGAATTTAATACCGAGTTAGTCAAGGCAGGTGGTAAACTTGTTGTTGTAGACTTTTTTGCTACATGGTGTGGTCCATGTAAAAAGATTGCACCATATTTTGAACAATTAGAAACACAATATAAGGATGTTCTCTTTTTAAAGGTTGATGTGGATATTTGCCAGCAAACAGCTGCCAAGTGCAATATTTCAGCCATGCCAACATTCCAATTATTCAAGAATAGATCCAAAGTTGAAGAAGTTGTCGGAGGAGATGTTCAAAAACTTGTCCAATTAATTAATCAACACAAGGGTGTTTCATCCTCTTCATCTTCGTCATCATCATCACAAGTTGAAGATAATGAACCAATACCAAGTCATCTTTCCACTGCGGAACAATTCAAAGAGGAAGGAAACAATAGATACAAGAAGGGATCATACAAAAAAGCTGTGGAATGTTATACAAGAGCTATTGAATTGGATCCAAGCCAAGCACCAATTTATACTAACAGAGCTGCTTGCAACTTACAATTACTCAAGTATAAGAAGGTTGTTGAAGATGGTTTAAAGGCTGCTCAATTGGATCCAAAATTCTCAAAGGCGTATCTTCGCGCTGGTCAAGGTTATTTACAAATGGGTAAAACTAGAGAAGCTAGGGAACAATTCGATTTGGCTCTTAAATTGGAACCAAATAGTGACTTGTATAAGAGAGAAAGAGAAAATTCTCTCAAAATTGAAAAGTACTTGTCGAATGGTAAGAGCTTTTTAGAACAATCTCTCTATAAGGAAGCTAGTAATGAAATGGATTTGGCATTCCAAATTGCTCCTCACTCAGTGCCATTGAAACTTTGTAAAATTGAAGCATTGATTGGATTGAAGGAACTTGATACTGCTGCCAAGGAAGCTAGCGTTATTCTTCGTGATATTGACAATAACAATTCCGAAGCTCTCTTCTTGAGAGGTCAAGCATTGTACTATGCTGGTAGTACCGAAAGTGGATTGAGTCATGTCACTCAAGCTTTAATGATTGATCCAGACAATCAAAAATGTTTACAATTCAGAAAGCAAATCAAGAAGATTGAACAATTGAAAGAGGAAGGCAACAAACTTTTGCGAGCTGGTAAATTCCAAGAATCCTATGATGAATATTCTAAAGCCATTGAAATTGATCCAAAGAATGCCAATTTGAATGCAGTTCTTTATTGCAATAGAGCTGCTGCTGCCACTAAACTCGGAAAACATCAAGTAGCCATCAAGGATGCTACCAAAGCCATTGAATTGAATGAAAATTATACAAAGGCATACATTAGAAGAGGTTCCAGCTATGTTGAACTTGAACAATACGAAGATGCCATGCGTGACTATAGTAAGGCCCATGAATTGGACAAGGACGATGAACAAGTTGCACAAAAATTGAAGGAAGTCAGAAAGCTCTACAAGCAAAGCAAGAAGAAGGACTTTTACAAGATTCTTGGTGTGGAAAGAAATGCCTCTACTGATGAAATCAAAAAGGCCTACAAGAAGTTAGCCATGCAATGGCACCCTGACAGATATATGGACGAAGAGGAAAAGAAGAATGCTGAAAATAAGTTTAAGGACATTACAGAGGCATACAGTATTCTCTCTGATCCACAAAAGAGACAACAATTCGATTCTGGCGCAATGGATGCTGATTTTGATGGTTTTGGTGGAATGGGAGGAGGAATGGGTGGTATTGACCCTAATGACATCTTTAGAATGTTCTTTGGTGGAGGTGGTATGGGTGGAGGAATGGGAGGTGGATTTGGTGGTATGGGAGGTGGAATGGGAGGAATGGGAGGAATGGGAGGAGGAGGAAGAAGAGGAGGCCGAGGTGGAATGGGTGGCCAACAATCATTCTTCTTTTAAACTTTCAAAACTTTCTACCCCAATATAACTCCTCTAATTTATTCTTTTATTCTTTTTAAATTTATTAAATCACTTAAATTTATTCTTTTCAACGAAAAATTGTGGCATTAGTTCAATAGTGGCAAGACACTGATTGTAAAGATAGGCCATTTTTTCCTCTCCGAAAAAAGAATGAAAGTTTGTTTCTTCGGTGGAATATTTGTGACGAATGGTTTGGCAATATTGAGCGAATGGCATTCCATTGTATTGAATATGTTCAAGAGCATACTTGAAACCATCTAGCATGTGTGGATTCGTTAGGCCTGCATATCCAAGAGATCCAGTGGTATAGGGGTTGAAGAAATCTGCAATTTTTTCAATACATTCCACACCTATGGATGGACTAAAGTTGTCAATCATGAGTTTAAATGATTCCCTAACATCATCAAAACCATAATAATCCACAAAGCAAGTAAGCATTTTGGAATTGATTTCTGATAAAAACTCCAAAGTTATTCCCTTGTAATTATTAAATAGAATATTCAAATCATACTTTGCAGGGTACATCTCAAAGAATGGTTTGAAAAATTGATTAGGTGAGCTTTTGCAATAGTTTCTAAAGTATGATAAAATAAAGTTAGTATTTCCCGTTTCTGGACTTATTTCATAAGGGTCAAAATTTTCAATTTTTGATAACAAGTGTGAAATCTTTGAACGGTAGTTGAATCTGTGAAAGATAATCTTTAAATCGATTGGAGTAATCATTCCACGCTCACTTAATAAATCAATAATTTCTCTTTCATAACCATATAAAAAGAGACTATGTGATTTGACTCTGGAATAATCAATAGATTTTTCCTCAAAAACTTCCAAAAACTGACAAAGACTGTTGACAACTTCTTCTGGCGTTTCACATGAGTCAGGACTGAAGAATTCCATAAAATATTTGTCTTTTTGATATCTGAAATGCCACTCAAAACATGTTTGAAAGTTATCAAGCCATTGATTAGGATAAATAGCATTGAACATCTTTTTTAAATATCTCAATCTCACCATTCTTTTGGTACGTGTCAGCTGCATGAAATCAATATATGGATCTTCACTTTTTTCATAATTTCCCTCCACAGAAATATAGTTCAGTAAAAAATCCAAAAAGCTTTCATTTCCATTTTCATCTTCATTCACATTCCAATAGGAAATTAAAATCTTTTCCAAAATCTTGTCATTTAGAATTGGTTTGAAATTTTGAACAAAGCAAATTACTTGAGGAGAACAATCATCGTCTGTTTTCCCAATCTCACCACTCATCACATCAGCAATTGAAAAAGTAAATCGTTTCCAATACTCTTGAGCATAAAGAGAATTATTCACTCGTCCATTCAATGTGAACTTTTTAGCTTGGTTAAGGAAATACTGAGCCATATATCCAGAATGTTCATAATTGACCACTCCCTTCGTGAAATCGTGACGAATCTCATCCACTCCCTTTGCCATCTTCATATTATAGTGCATAATCATGGCAGAGGAGGCCAACTTTTTAAATCTCATCCCAAATACTGTCGATTTCTCTCCCTTCTCTCCATACCTATCTTCATCCATATACTTTTCAAAACTTGCCCTACTCACCGATTTTTCCTTCACAATCTGCGATTCATAAAACTTGTTCAATTGACTAATTATTGACTTGTACAAATTCCCGCCTTTTTTTTTTCTTTCATGACCCATCACCATCATCAAATCATTTTCATCACCATCATCGGAATGATTTAATTTTCCATAATAATCAATCTTTGTTTGTATAAAATTGGACAGCAGTGTTTTCCACACAATTTCAAACCGATCCAATTCGTACCAATTTTTGCAGGTGCAGAGGAGTGAGAGACCATCTGCAATGGAGAGAAATTCGAGGATGGCAAAGAGTGTGTCAATGTGAATCTCTGTATTGTTGCTGGACATTTTTTTTTTTAATTGTTTTTTAAACTTTGAAAACTATTTGTAAATAAATTTATGAATTTTACAAAATAATTTCACATAAAAATTACATCAATAATGGGTACACAGATCCTTTTACAGTTCTGATTTTAATCAAGTAGATATTCGTGAGGGTATCAATACTGGAGCTGCAATTGCTGGAGTGATTGGGTAAAAAACAATTAAAAAAAAAATGTCCAGCAACAATGCAGAGAAGTTGTTTCTAGAAATTTAAACATTAACAAATAATAGCACCAAGAAATTTGCATATGATTTGTGGGGTGTAAGTATTTCAATACTGTATTGTTGATATGTAAACATGCAAGGAATTGTAAGCTCTCAACTATGTTGTATAAATATTCCTCGGTCTGTTGAGATTTCGTTTCAAATTCAAATGTCATCAACTTTACACAACAACTTTTCAATCAGTTTCTTCTTCACTGATGAAAAATTTGGACCACTGGAAAGATTTTTTACTGACACCATGATCAAAAAAATGTCGTGAAGCGAACCGAATTCGACAGATTTCTAATAATGGTAAAGTAACTATTTCCAATTGCTGGAACTGGTGAGTCTGGAGAGAGTGGAGAAGGTGGACCTGTTGTCAATGCTCAAATTTATTCTCCATACTCTCTTGATGTTAACTCTAAAGGTGAACTAATCTTTATCGATGAAAATTACAAAGTTAAAAAGATTTTCAAGAAAGGTACATTACCGTATCGAATTCGTTAAATGGCAAATCGATTTCAAATAAATCTACTTATTTTTTATTGAATTTAGCATACATCTCTTGTAGTTTAGTTTTGGCAAGTTCCTTTTCTTTTTCGATTTCTTCTTTCATTTCTTGTTGAACACCTGCAATAATGGTATCATACATATCAATATTCTTGTTCATTAATTTCAAATCTTCGTTTTCTTCTGCTGCTGATTTGTCGGAAACTATCTTGTTGTATCTTTCTTGCCAATCTTTTAAGAACTGTTCTTTCTCTTCCAATAATTTGCGTTCAGCATCTAAAAACTTGAAATACTTGCTTTGAATCGCTTTCATTTGAACAACAACTTTGTGTGACTTTTCTAATTTCAAGTTGGATTCGAATTTGTCAAGTTCAATTGCTTTAAAGAATTGAATTTCCAAAGTACCAAATTTCTTCATATCCTTTTCATTGATATTTTTCAATTTGGTTGCAAAAATAGGCGAAACAGCTTCTGTTTTTCTTTTTTTGTAAGCTTGACTGATTTCTGCTTTGTTCTTCTCATACTCCTTTAAAAGGTTATCAACAAATTCATCTTCATCATCACTTGAACAATAATCATCTTTAAAAGAAGCCTTCATAGTAGTATCCAACACTTTCTGTGCATTATCTTTTGTTTCTTTAGCACCATTTAATTCCTTTTCAATGTCGTCAATTATACTCTGAAGGTTCTTTTTTACAAAACCATCGAATAGCTTATTGATATAGGAGTGATTTGGATAGCTTTTCGAAGATTTAGGAATGAAACCTTGTTTTCTAAGCTTACCACCAGTAGATGGAAACATAAATTGATCATTTTTGGATTCTTTTACCATTTTTTCATACCATAACTTTGACACCAAAACAATTTCCGAATCTTCGAGCATACTTTCTCCATAGGGCTTATGGCTGAGATTTGCGAGTAAGACTTCAACAAATCTATCAAATGTGTCAAAGTTGGCAGAGAGTTTGGTTGGAATTTTGAGTGATTTTTTTTGTGGAAATTCCAAAATAAAGAAAGGTGATGTTCTTTTTGTAAAATCACCCAAAAACATTGGCACAACGAAAATACAATTTGATTTTTATTTTAAATCGAAATTAGATATCGAATGTGAGGTGAATCCATTTACATTATTGGTGATGGACCTGCACTTGCTGTTACTTTGAATAATCCATTTCAGATGGTTTTCAATTCAGATGGTGATTTATACTTTTCAGAAGAATTGAATAGAATTAAAAAGCTCAGTAATGGACAAGTAACAACTTTGGTTGGAAATGAAGCCAATGGTTATTCTGGAGATGGTACTTTAGCACAAAATGCACAGGTTAATTTACCATCTGGTTTAGCTATCAAACCAGGAACTAATTTCGAATGGAACTATTATAACAATTACACTGTTGGGGTTGATATGGGAAGCTTTGATGGAGATTTGGCCATAAATGCAGGACTGAACTTTCCATTTGGATTAATTGTCACTCCCGCAGATGAAATTGTTTTTGTTGATGTAGTCAATCATAGAATTTGTATTGTTTTCTCAAATGGAACTATCAATACTATTGCAGGTAATGGGAAGAGTGGATTTAGTGCAGATGGTCAATTGGCAACTCTTCGTTGGATTTGAGAGGAGGAATTGCAATGAATTCACTTGGTGAAATAGTTTTCTCTGACAGTAATAGAATTCGTAAATGGGTAACGAATGGAACACTGACAACAATTGCTGGTAGGCAAAGCTCTGGATATAGTGGTGATGGTCAGTTGGCCCTTAATGCCCTTCTCAAAGCTCCACTATTATAAGTTGATTCGAGTGATAATATTTACATTACTGATACAGAAATTCGACAGATTTCAATGATTTGTTCATCTCCATATGTAATGAGAGGAAATGAATGCATTCCAACTTGTTTTGGTTTCAATTCAAGTAGTTTACATGTTTGTTCTGGACGTGGACAATGCAACGAAACAGATACATACACCTTATTATGGAAGCAATTGTGAATTGGTTGTTTGTAATGAAATTGCCAAGAATTCATCTCTTGTTTGTTCTTGAAGTGGAATTTGTCAATCTCATGTAAACCTGGATATTATGGAACCGTACAAAAAAAATGAATTAACAAGGAAACACTTTATTTCACAAGATATTAAATATTAATAACACTAATATTATGATTGGATATGTGAGATCTTTTTGAGTTTTCTTAACACCATCTAACACCTCCAACACAACCATATCCACCATAACCACCATAACCACCATATCCACCATAGAATGGAACACCATATCCACCATAACCACCATAGAATGGCATTGAATAAGCACTTCCATAATTGTTTCCATAACTAGTTGGTCCAGTATAATAAGATCCATAACTTGAATATGGATTTGAGTTGACTGCATTCACTTGATTCCAATAGGATTGAGTATTTTGTCCATATTGATTGTAATTTCCTCCAGTGACTCCATAGTTAGAACCAGAACCTCCTGATGTACCATAATTAGTACCATAATTGTTGCTATATTGGCAGTTGACCAAGCAAGAAGCGATGAGTACAGTGGCTACAAGAGCAATGATTAGTTTGTTCATTGTTTTGATTTTGTTTTTTTGAGTGTGAATTGATTTTGAATGAGGATGTTCAGGTTGAGTATTTAAATGTTTTTGGAAAGATTGTGTTTGGATGATAATAGCTTGTTTTCTAAATGTAAATTAGTCAAAATAGGAATGTCCGTTATGTTGAATGGGTTTTGTAAGAGAAAATAGAAAGTTGACTAAATTGTAACGTTACAATTTTGGTTTCGAATAATTTCCTAAACTGTGCAGTTGACCATGTTGTTCAATTAAAAAGAATAAAGCATATATTGAAAGAATCATTTCAAATAGCAAGCATCAAGATAGGTTGTACAAATTCGTTTCTGAAACAATTCTTCACTGAATTCACAGCAAAATCCACTTTTCATGGCAATTTCTTCTTTCATTTCAACTAGTGGCGAAAGTAATTGTTTTAGAAGGGCACATATTCCACATTCGTTTCGTTTCAGTGCTTCCAGAACCATTTCCAGATCCATAGTGATGCTAGCTTGATGAGTGATAAAGAATGAACATGAGAGTCCATTTCGTATAGCTTCTAAAATACAGAGATTGTCCTGGATTAGGTCATTTGAGGCGAAATAAATCGAATCTGCCTTATTTCTAATGGCTGCAAGAACGACATCCCTATCATTTCGCATTTCAACTGATAGAAACTTTAACAAGTCACCTCTCAAACTAACAACTATCAAGGCAATTTCTTTACAATTTCTCACCCTTTCGGATGCTAATTCAATGACAGTTGGATCGGTCATGACAGCCAATTTCATTATTTCCAAATCATCTTTCAATATGGAGCATGTATGCTTCAAAGGAATGATAGATTGCTTAACAGCTTCCAAAATAAATTCCCTGTCATTCTTGAATTTGCGTTTCAAATCGTCTGGAATGGAGAAGAAATTGGTTTTCAAACCCGCCAATATAATTTCCTTGTCTGATCTTAAATTTTCATTAAGGAAATGGAATGACAACACTTCTGGATCGTTTTTGACTGATTCTAATACAATTTGTCTGTCTTGTTGTAATTTTGGAGAGGCAAATTCAAGGGAGCATCCACGATTTCTGACAGCTGTCAAGACTATTTCTCTATCTTGAACCAAATCTTCACACACAAATTCCAGTGCATCTCCCTCACTTTCCACAGCTTTCAAAACAACCTCTCTATCATTCCAAAAATCAGGGAAATATTCCAAATAATATCCATTATACGAAACTGTTTCCAATGCAAAATCTCTATCCTCAATCAACATGGTTTCAATTTCACTGAAAATCTCAATCGGACATTCCTTAATTGCTTCCAACATGAACGATCGACTATTCCTCAAAAATAATGAAGCATCTTCCAGACATTGAGGATACAACCTTAATATTTTTAACATGAAAATTCTGTCATTCTTTTGTTTCATTGTAATGAGATGAAAGAATTGATAATTCGATTCGACTATCTGATATACGAAATCATTGTCTGTTTCCCAGGATTTGTTCCAAATTCTGGAAATGAGTTGTTTGGAATTGAATGGTGAACTGTCAATTAGACAACTGATAATTTTGAAAATTTGTAAAACTAAATCTTGGTGTTGTTTCACATTGGTTTCGTCTAATAAATTATTGATGCATGAAAATAAAGTTGCTGAAAGCCCAGAGTTTGCTAATTTCGCTCCTTCTGCATGGGAAACAACCTTCAAAGTATGTGAAATTATTTCTGTGAGGATTGACTTGTCATTTTTCAAATCTTTCGAAAGCCATTCCAAAATTTCGAATAACTTATTAAGCAATGATATTGCCGATTGTTCATTTGTAATTCTATTACATTCCAATCCGTTTTGTCTAATAGATTCAATAACAATCTCAATATCATTCACACATTCGTCCAATCTAAGAACAATCGAATAAGCTCCTCGTTTCACACATGTCAATGCCATCTTTCTCCATGAATAATTTTCATTACAATTATTGGCTATCTGCTTCATAGCTAACAAGATAATTTCTCTATCCTTACTAAATTGAGAATCAATTACATATTCCATTACTCTTCCATTTTCTCTCACTGCATCCATTACAAAATTTCTATCACGACATAATTTCTCCTTTACCAATTTAAAAACTGTTGCATTATTCGAAAGGGCTTGAAGGGCAACTTGTCGATCGTATTGATAGTGATTTGAGAGAAGAGGTAAAATCAGTCCATTGTTTCGAACACATTCGAATATAAACTCTCTATTCTTCATCAATTCCTTATTTACAAAACTAATAGCCTTTTCATTATTCTTGATAGATTCCAAAACAACATTTCGATCATCATTGAAATTCTTCAACTCCTTCAATGCTAATCCATCCTTTCGTACAATTTGCAAGACGAAACTCTTCTTATGAATTTGATAAAGATTTCTCAAGGTTGCAACTGTTTGCCACGAATCAGGTTTACAAATTCTGAAAACTTTCTCCACAATTTCAAAATCATTTTCCAATAATTGTGGATGAATATTCTCCCACAATCGATCTGCATCATTATTCGAATGTTTGTTCCGATCATGGAAATCATCAAGGAATTGCATGATATATTGTTTGTCCTTCGAGTATTCGATCGGAATGAAGTTTAGAATAGTAAATCGATTGATCAACCATTTGTATTTTCCCTTGCTTTGATTTTCGAATCGTTTCTTCAAATTCGAATACAAATAATGATCATTGTGATGATGCTGACTGAGAAAATCATAAAGGATGAGAACTACCAAATCATGATTGCATTGGTGCATTGTATTTGAACTTGGGAGTGATGCAAATACACTTTCTAATATTTTATTCGACATAGTTAACCAATTATTTCGACCACCAAGAAAGGGGAACTAACAAGACTTCTATTCAGAAATATCAGAAACTTTATTCCAAAATCTTGAATTGGAAACTATAATCCACAGGACTAAACTTGATATGGACATTGGCATAGGCCATTGTGAGTGATAAATCTTTTCTAATTTCTGCATCCCTTGGCAGCAAGTTAATCACCCAATTCATAACAGTTTCCTTATTATCTCCAAATAATCCTAAATGAGTTGCGAATATTGAAGGCAAAACAAGAACCTTAGTTTGTGGATTGAAATTTGAATCATGAAGGAGAACGCCAGTTGCTTGTTGCCTCAATTGAGTTTTAACAAGCTCTGCATTATTGGGATAATAAATTCGAATAGGTGGTGAGGAGAATGAGCAATTACTGATAGCCAAACAATTCAATGGATCCTTTTGATAGACATCCAAAAGTAGTTTGTGTTTCTCTGTATTGGAAATGTTTCTTGAACTTGTCAATAGACATTGAATATCATCCAAAGAGAGTGGAATATTTCCAACACAATAAATTGGTTCCTTCATAAATCTTCTACGACTTGAAGTGTTGAGCATTGGATAGAATCCTCCACGAATAAAACCATGCAACAACATGACGTGGTACAAGTTGATTAAAAAGACGGTAATCAAGTGTTTTTTGGTTTTCAAATGATCTAAATCAATAGATTCCAACTTGTAGGTCAATTGGGTAAATTGTTCAAGTTTTTCCTCTTGATCTGCTAAAATAATAAATTCCTTTCCGAGTTTCAATTGTTTTCCCCATCCCATTCGTTCTTGACCATCTCCAGTTGTTTGTGTAATCCAATCAGAGGCTCTATAAATTTCCACAATCTTTTCCAATAACAGAACAGTCAATTCTACTGCTTGTTGAGCAGATAGAGTAGAAAGTGAGAGAATGTTGGAGTGAGTTTCAGAGAGGACTGATGTTGTTGATGGTGATTGTTCAACAACAGCAAATACATCATCTTCAAATAATTTGTCAGGTGTTTGTGGAATGCTAGTGGAAGCTGAAAGTGAATTGTCTGACGTGTCAACTGGTGAAGTAACAACTGGTAGATCGATGGCTGTTTGTGGTGGACTTCCTGATGAGGTACTGGCAGCATCTTCATCATCTTCCTCAATTGGAATGGCCTCAACTCTGGTTGAATTGAAAACAGACATGGAACGATAGTGAGCCGATTTCCCTTCAAACATGTTTGCTCCCTCATCTTGTTCAACTTCTTCAATGTACTGAGTTTCAACTCCCTCGACAACTGAATCTAGTGGTTTGTTGAGCATGACACTCAATCCTCTTGTCTTTCTGAATTGAATTTCAGAATCACGTCTCTTTCTGAATTCTTCTTGTTGTTTCTTCAACTCCAATTGCACCTTGAACATTTGATCTAATTGTTCCCAATTCAATGTTTGCATATAATCGACAGCAATTTGAAGAGTGACCAGAGAATAACCCATAGGTCCCATCATGAGAGATTCGTGAACGAAATCTTCTAAAATCTTCAAATGACAATACAAATCTGGAATGGCTGCCTTGATCATGACAAAGATGAAAATTGGCATCAATGCATCAGCAGAAACTTCCTTTGGTTTTCCATAGTAATTTTTCACACAATCCACAATGGCCTTTGAGGTATTCATCAAAATTTTCATTTTACCATCAATTAAACTATTGCTAGTTGAAATTTGAGAAAGAGTCTGAATGGCAAGGGCGTAATTTTCATCAGCTGTCTTGCCATTTCCTTCCAAACAATATTCATCTGCAATTTCCAAGTGTCTTGGTGTACAATCCTTCAATTCCGCATACTTTTGATTGACGAATGATGATTTCTCTGCTAGCTCTCTCCTGTACAATTCAAAAACGATTGGGAAAATCTTATCGAAAAAGACATAGTCTACACATTGAGCAAAGAGTGGCTCCATCTCGTTCGGAACCACCTTCAAATTAACGTTATAATTCACAGCAGGTGTGATAATAATCTTTTGAACTTGTCTTGACATGACTTTGTACATTTCATCAAAGAATGTTGCAATCAGTGATTTGGCTCTTGAAGTAGCCACAATCTTCTCCTCAGATGTTAACTTGTCAAAATATTCCAAAGAATAAGCTTGTAAGAACATGTCTGACTGTTGTGTAAGAACTCTATTAAAGAGACTGCCAGGATTCTGACATTTGCTGAACAAGTGTCTGAAAATAATTTGTTCCTGTTCATCAACACTTTGACATTTGGCAATATCTGAATAAAAATCAGATTCAGAACCTTGCAACTCGATAATATCAGAAAACTTGATCAAAGAACTTTCCACAAATTCTTTCAAAGTTTTCAATTTTTTACCCATCACTGATTCAAATTCCAAAATATCAGATGAATAGTCGATGGCATCGCTGTCCTTTGCAAATGTTAAATAATAGACCATCTCCTTCTTGATAGCTCTATGCTCGAAAATTTCCTTGTGATCAGTGCACAGACATGGGAATGCCTTATTGATATCGATGGCAGCACAGGAAACAGGTTTCTTCAGAACTTCAGACAAGATTCGAGAAATTTCACGGAAACTAGCTTTTGTACCATGAGCTACAAAGTTCTTGATCATTTGTTCCGAGTCAACCTTGATTGTTTTCATCAGGTGAAGAATAAAATCAATGACATCATCTCCATCACACCATTCCAATCTTTCATTCAGAGTGTCTATGGTAGAAGAGGTTGGAAGGGACATTGAGGAATAGGTTTGAAGTTCAGAGCCAGACAAGGTTGCTAGAGTTTGATACAACCAACCAAATTCTATAAATGTATAAGCTACAGGGCACTTTCTCGATAAATAAATGGAAACTTGGGTGAGGAAATCCTGACATATTCTCTTCGTTGCAGAATCGTACAACAAAAAGATGTGTTTCAGTTTGGTAGATCTGGCTGCATTGTCCATAATCTTCTTAAAAGCATCCAAATCAAACCACTTATTAAGCAGATATTTGGCCTTGATAAAGAAGATTAATTTCTCACTTTGCATGACTGCATCACTGGCATATTCGACGAATTTCTCATTCAGGATGTGTTTGGTTTTACTCTCTACATAGTCCTCTCCCTCCAGATCCATCACAGATCCAGAACGAGAAGCTCTGAAAGGAACATTAATCATGCTGGAATTGGCAAGAATGTCTTCTGTTCTACGTCTTCTCTGATCTTCTGAAATTTGAGATCTCAAATTGACCTCAACTGTTTTCTTTTCCTTCTCATAGTCAAATATGATATATTGAGCCGTTTTGAATGGATAGTCTGGAATTTCCTTCTTTGAAAAGATGATATTCTTTGAAATGAAATTCATATCATGGAGGGCATGTAAGAGTTTCGATTGGATAAAGTGAATAGAACCAATCATACAAATGCATGGATTGTGATCTTGGAATGTTTCCAATTCTCTCTCGATAAAGTTGTCAAAAATAGTGGCTGCAGAACCTTTCAGTTCAAGTAAATCTGAAAAGACAGTGGCTGCTAAACCTTCATCATAAATTGTCGAGTAGACACTGTGTAAGGCATCACATTCCCACTTTCCTAATCCCTTCAAGTTCATTAATCTATTCATGGAAACATCTCGATCAACTACCTTGTACTCCACTGGAACGTTGGTCTTTTTAGAGAACTTTTTAATGACATCTAAAATGGTTAAGGATTCGGGACCTGACATGACATAGGTGTGCATCTTTCTATCATTGGAATTTTTGGATTTGTCTTGTTTTTGAATATTAGAATTGACTTGGAAGAGAATGTTCATAACGGTGGTACAAATGGCAAGACCAACATCACGAGCATCGACCCATGAAACTCTCTTCTTGATAGTATCCTCTTTTTCCTTCAAATCTCCAAATGGGAAATAGAATGTTCTTGTTTTTTCATCATAGAACAAAAGAAAATCTTGCATAGTTCCATTATATCTGAATATCGTACATGAATTTCCGAAATATGATTTAACAGTTTGTTCACATTGCAAATGATCATCAAACATTTGTGGAAGAATGACATCCTGTTCATCGAGTCCACCACTCACCACTGGAAAATATTTTGAACACAAAATGAATGAATCAATACTCAATTGGAGTGAGAAATTAATGGCTTGATTCATATCTTCTAGGATACGTTCGCCATCCATTGGCACGTGAACAATGGCTGCAATGTGATATTGACGTGTAGTGATTTGTTCCACCAATGAAATGGTTTCAAAATTACGAAATCCTCCCTCCAAACAAATGACTTGAGCTCCATAACTTTTCAATAAATTTTCCTTTAAATTTCCATTGTGAATGGCTGAATTCTTTCTTGATGATGATGAATTGTTTTGTTGTTGAGTTTTTAATGTTCTGGAAGGATAATAAATAGCAATGACACGAATCTTTCTCAATAGAAGTGATTTTACAACTTCAATACCAACATTGGATGTTGCATTTGTCACAACTGTATTTAAATTTCATTAATTTTCATCAAATTTAAATTCATATCCAATTTAAATCAATTTTAGTAAATTCACATTCAAATATATTAATAATAAAATTAACAAATTAAATAGAAAAATAAAACTCACCAACAGCAACACTCTTCTTCACTGCAGTAGATGATTTCATTTCCTGTTGTTGTTGTGTAGGTCCAAATGGTGAAGAACTTGTCATGGGATTTTGACCACCTGCTCTGGTTCGTGTCCTCATTCTCGAACGAACGTGTTGAGTGGCAGCACGTTTCAATTTTTGTGCCCAATCCTCTCTCTCATCATCTGTATCTTCGGAACACAATTGGAATGTGTAGGATCTCTCGCTAAACACTTTATCCTTGCTATATGACTGTTTTTCATCATGATTTTTACATGATTTTCATCAATTCATTAAATTCACATTGAAATAGTTGATGTGTGTGTGAATTTTTTGTGTTTGTTCAAATCAGAACAGTACAATACAGTAATCATAACATTATGGAGTAATGCATACCATATTAAAATCCGTTCGAGTAAGGGGCGCACAAATTGTTGAATTTTGCAATTTTCAACAACATTCATCAAAATTGTTGCATTGCAAAACGGGCCATTCATCAATTCATTAACATCAACATCATCATATGAATATAATAGCATGAATAATAACAATAATAATTCAATTATTATTATTATAATTTAAATCAAATAACAACAAACCTTTTCACACTTGACATGAAACATTCTCCTATTCTTCTCATCCAAAACAATACTTCCATTCTGTAATTGCAACACGCCAATAACTTTGGATTGTTCGGGTAGACCAGATGTTGAAGATGATGATGAATCCGAAGAAACTTTCTTGTATATTAAAATGTCATCAATTAGAACGAAGAGTCGTTTCTTCCAGGATTTCCATTTCATTCCCTGTTTCATCAGGTATCCACTCTTCACAATACAATGCTGATTCTGTGAAGAGGATGAGGAAGGAGATGAAGCACTTTGCGAGATTGATGGCAAATCTCCATGTGAATTTAATCCATATTTGGCGAGGACGAATTGAAGTTCTGTTGTTGAGGAGGATGAAGATTTAGTTGTTGCTTTTCTTCTTGGAGTAATTCCACCATTGCCTCCTCCTGATGATGATGAACCTCCCAAGTGATGATGTTCTGGGAGGGATGTCATTTTTTTTTTGATTTTCAACGAAGGTTGACGTGTTGTGTGAGGATGTTAGATTTGTTGTGGAATGATTTTGGGTTGGACTGTTGAGGCGACAACCACGAATCAAATAAGTTTGTAACAGAATGTTTGAAAGATTAGATTTTTCTTGATTTATCAAAGGAGAGAAACAAACTTGAAAAATACACACTTTGTGTTAGAGGAATTTTTATTACTCATCAAGTGACTTGTATCCACAATATTAATAATATTACACACCTTTTCTACATTGATTGAAACACTGTCGACAACATTGAGAACATCTTGTTTGTATTTTCCTCAGAGAATAAACAGGATGATTAGAAATATAACATGACTGGCCATTAAATTACTACTTTAATTTTATACTTTAGGAATTGATATTGTATCAGTCAATTTGTGTTGCAATCTGATCTAATCAAAATTAGGACAATCACTTTCTGGTCTGTCTAGTAAATTGATCCATGTGCAACTCATAGCCAAGGTTAATTGCAAGACAGTGTTTGGTCCATTGTGTAATTCCATCCGACTTTTTGTAATAAAACTTCCTAATGGTCCTGTGTGGCTATCTTTCTTACAATGTAAAAATTACGGAATTTAAAATTCAAAAAAATGTCTCTTCTCAAATCCATTACCGAACCTCTCAGTAACGCTTTCGCTACTCTCTCTCCACTTCAACAGAAGGCATCATTGGGTGTATTATTGGGATCTGCTCTTTATTTAGGAAGAAAATATTTCAAGGGACCATATGTTTCTTCACAATTATTGCAAAGTGATTTGAGTGGACAAGTTGTATTGGTAACAGGTGCCTCAAAGGGTGGAATTGGTTATGAGACTGTCAAGAGTTTGTATCAATTGGGAGCAATTGTTGTGATGGCTGTGAGAAATGTTGAAAGAGGTGAAGTGGAAAAGAAGGAATTAGTGGAATTGTGTGGTGGAAAGAAGGTTGGAAAATTGATTGTAATGAAATTGGATTTGGAAGATTTGGAATCTGTTAGAGAGTTTTCACGTCAATTTTTGAAGGATTTCACTCGATTGGACATTCTTGTCAATAATGCAGGTCTTGCCCAAGGTCCAGGTGTTTCCAAACAACAAATTGTAAGTAGTACCATCATTTATTTTCGTGTTAATGAAACATGTCAGGAACTCCATTTTGCAGTGAATCATCTAGGCCACTTCTTATTGGTTCGCTTCTTGAAAGATCTCATCCAAGAGACTAGTGTCAAGTATTCTAAACAATGTAAGGTTATCAATGTTTCAAGTGAGGCTCATTATAGAGTCATAACAGAAAATGACATCCTCGATGCTGACAAATTGGTCAATCAAGATGGTTCTAATCTTCCAATGTTATTTGCTTATGGTCATTCCAAGTTTTGTAATGTTATCTTTACCAAATCATTGGCTAGATATTTTAAACAAGATCCAAAGGCAAATGTTGGTTGTTACTCTCTCCATCCTGGTATGTTTTTTAATACTTTTAAATTGTTTACAAACATATTTGAATATTACAAAAGGTGTTGTCTCTACCAATGTATTCAGACATTCCCCAACAATTGTTCGTGGTATCTTGTCAATGCTTAGTTTGTACTTTTTGAAAACTCCAGAATCTGGAGCTCAAACTCAAATCTTCTTAGCACTTGAGAAGAATGAAAAACTCTCCAATGGAGGTTACTACAAGGATTGTTCCGCACGTGAGGTAAGACCAGTGGCCAACAGTGAAAATGTTCAAGACAGATTGTGGACTTTGAGTGAGAATTTGTGTAAAGATTTTGCCTCTCTCTAATTGATCTAATTGATATTAAAAATTATTAAGGTTAATATTCTGAATGCCATGACATTACACTTTTGAATATCAACAGTGTAACCGATGATAGCTCAGCTGGTAGAGCATGGGACTGTAGCAAGAAAAACTGTCATCCTGTGGTCGGCGGTTCGATTCCGTCTCATCGGATCTTTTTATCTCTTTTACATTATTATTCTTTCAATTGCCAAATAAGCAAATGCTACTATTGAGACATTAATTGATATTTTACAGTGGATTTACTACCTTCTTTTCTGCGCATTCATGTAAAACAAAGGAGAAGGAATGGATCAAATAATGAAATTTACGATGTAAACACTAAGAGTAACACTCTAAAACACCACCAAAACATGTTCTCCTTATTATCTTGAGTGAAAAAGAAATCAAGAACGAATCCTCTTCCATCAGGAGAGCGAAAAAGCCAAGCTTCCAATCCAGAAGTATTTCTCCATAAAAATCAACCTTTGCAACCAATTCTATACTGGAGAGTTTCCAGCGCTAAATATTAACAAGAAGAAAATACAAGAAGAAATATATATATTGGATCATTAGAACAATGAAAAACTTCTTCTCCTCGCGATCTATTGATTCCAAAAGGCTATTCTCTGAAGATTTGGATGATGATGCAACATCACAAAGTAGTAGCAATTTAGCAACGAGTCCAATGCCAACTACACCAATTAAATCTTCATCACAACCATCAAATAATAATAATAACCAGCGACATCCTCATCATAAGATGCAAGCCATCAATCCGGAAGATATCTTTGAATTGAGAGTGCAACAACAACACAGCAACAACAAATTGTTCCATCATTACATTCCGAGACTACCAACACAACAGTGGTAAGAGAAAGAAAGGTAAGTTTTACATTTCATCTTGAAAGCTAAAATTATTTAAAATTAAAATTATTTTAAATCTAAATTTAATATTATTATTTTCAACTTCACCTTCACACATGAATGCAATCTAACTATTAATACCCTAAATATGTTCTGATATTTGAATATTCATCAATTATGAATCTTTACAAAACACTGGAATCGCGAATTATTTCCTCGCTATTGGATTTTTAAAAAAAACAACAATTTTAATTAACCAACCACGGAAACAATACTTCGGTTGATACAACCACAACAACAACAACATATTAATATCATCACCATCATCAAATTAAATATATTAATAACAACAATATATTTCTGGTGATCAAAAAATTGTAAATACTTTAAATCATCTGGACAAAATAGTCATTAAGAGACCTTATAGAAGAAGAACATTCACGAATACAAACACAAATGGAAAACGATATTGAAGTAAATCAAGGATCACATAGTTCACTTCAAGTGCCAAGGCCACCATTTAGTTCCTTGAAGGATATTGGATTTGCCGAAGATATGAATCCTAGACACAGAAGAACAAATGAAGATGGACATTGTATGATTGATAAATTCAGAGGAAAGGAAGGTGAAGGTTTCTTTGCCATTTATGATGGTCATGGAGGTAGAGGAGCTGTTAATATTGTACAAAATTCTTTCCATAACATTTTCGAGAATGAATTAAACTTTTTAGAATCTAAAAACACTGACGGAACGGAACTCATTGATGTCACTCAAGCATACAATAGTGCTTATAGTAGAATGGATGGTGAACTTAAGGTTCAAGAAATTTTATATAATGGAGCTACAAGTATTACTTGTTATATTAGATACATGCCAAAGATGAACAAACGTTTCCTCTATGTTGCTAATTGTGGTGATGCTCGTGTCGTTATCACTAAAAAGACAGGTCAAGCTGAGAGACTTACCTACGACCACAAGGCAAGTGATGAAGGTGAAGTGAAGCGTATCAAGGCCAAGAATGGATTTGTTGCCTATAATCGTGTTAATGGTGTATTGAGTGTAACTAGATCATTTGGTGATCATGCTATGAAGGAATGGGTCATTTCTGACCCATATCACTCCTTTGTTGACTTGACTGATGGTGAATATGATTATTTGGTATTGGCCTGTGATGGTGTGTGGGATGTCATTTCGGATCAAGATAGTTCAAACTTTATTCATGAAAATTCTCACATGAATTGTCAACAATTATCAGAATTAATTTTGAAAAAATCTCTTTCACTAGGCTCTACAGACAATATTTCAGTGATTATTGTAAAATTATAAACGTTGTAAAAATTGATTACTTTTTTTCACACCATTACAAAATTAAGCCAAGTTTCCAATGAGCATTAAGTTATTTTAATATTTATAATGAACATTAAGTTATTTTAATTTATAATTTAAGGGATGACTTGATGAATTCTGCCATATCATTCATTTCAGTTAAGGAGCTTGAATGACCCATTCCAGAATAAGTCTTGAAAGTGTAATGCTTGGCATTCTCTTCACCTCCTAACAAACTTCCAACAACAAATTTCATACTGGTAGCTCCCCAATCATATCTAACAACAACATCTGATGTTCCATGAGCTTGGAAAACTGGTGTAGTCTTGTTTGGAAAGTCTTTTCCAACAAATGTGAGTGCATTCTTTCTATTAGGAAGCCATGACGACAAGACAATAATTCCTCCGAGCTTGTACTTGTTGGTCAATCCATGGTAAAATGCAACACTTCCTCCTTGTGAAAATCCTCCCAATATTATACGTTCAGATTTAATTCCAAATTCACAAATTTCCCTCTCAATCAAAGTTGTGACATTATTAAAACACTTGTCCATACTTGCCACATCCTCAGCTCCATCAATTGACAAGGACAATAAATCATACCATGAGGGCATTGACATTTGGGTCAAACTAACAAACTGTTCTGAAGCATTAGGCAAAATCACCTTGACACAATCAAACTCTGACGACATTTTCTTAATCTTTTTAAATACATCACTCCATCCAGAACCAGAATCTCCCAATCCATGCATAAATATAATAGTAGCATCATGCTTCCCAGCAGTGGCTGGAATTTCAATCTGAGTATACGGCAATACAAAATCATTTAATTTTTCAATTCGTGCCGAGTAGAACTTTTTCTTGTATTTTGCGATCGTGTTGATTTTTTGTTGTTCCGATAAATTTTCTGGTAAGGTTAAATTTTCCAGGTATTGTTTCCATTGTTCATTGTTGGCAAAATCAAATTGACGAAATCTTTCCCAAGCTTCAAGTTGCGACATTTTTTTTAGTTTTCTGTTTTTAAAAAATTTTTTTTTTTGAATTGATATTTATTTAATATTTGATAATTAAGATAAGAAGCAAATTGGCGCAGTGGAAGCGCGATGGGCTCATAACCCATAGGTCCTAGGATCGAAACCTAGATTTGCTAAATGTTTTACAATTTTGGAATTGAATTAAGGGCTATTAATAACTTATATTGAATTGAAATATTCGAGAAATGCATGTTTTATTTCTATATAATAATTATTTTGATAATTTTAAACCTTACCTATTATCAAAATAATCTCAAATTCCTATTAACATTATCTGATTGAAAAATAAATATTTTTAATTACCTTAATTGAAATTACAATAATTTTAATTCCATTAATGAAAATTAATTTGATAATTTTATAGATTATTGGATAGGTAAGGAGTAAAATTATCAGCAGTTCCATTGTTTGGAGCTGGAGTAATTTCCAATAGTTTGCAAATTAAGGAATAGACATCTAAATTTCTTACTCGGTTTGGAGAATTAAATCCCTTTTTGAAATGTCTTCCTTGAGCAATGAATAAACTTCCCATTTCTGGACTTTCGTTATTGTAGCCGTGATTTCCTTTCGTATTGAGTTGACTTGCTGCATTTCTTAAAATGGAAAATTCAGGCCTTGCTAAAAGTATCAGATCTGGAATTCTCTCAGAATTTGTAAAGTGAAAATTCTCAGGCATGTTCAATTTAGTATAAACTCCTTCAACTGCATTAGAATATTCTGTACTATTACTAATCGATTCCACTAACTCATTGTAAAGTGGTGCAATATTTGTCTTATTCTTAATATACATATCCAAATAAGGACCAGCATTCATATTCAAAATCTCAACACCATCCAACACATTTCTCTTCAAAATATCTGTCAAACGAACAATTTTTGATTTTGGAGTAAGTGACATTCCATGATCACTGACAATTATTAAATCTACATTTTCTGTAAGGTTTCGTTGTTTTAATCCTTCAAGTATGAGACCTACTGCATCGTTGACTTGTCTTACCGATTTTCTCAATTCCTCAGTGTAAATTGGGCCTAAATTATGTCCAACAGTGTCAACTGAACTGAAATAGGTCAGTATCATTTGAGGTGGCTTATCAGAGTCTAACCATTCAAAGACAGTTTTCACACGAGTTTCATAGTCAATTCTTCCATCATATCTTTTGTAATAGGTTGGATACATGCCTTGAATTTCTACATCAGATCCAGGCCAGAAGAAACTTGCCGAAACTTTTCCTTGTTTTTCAGCAGTAACCCAAATAGGTTCTCCTAACCACCATCTAGATTTGAAAGATTCAGGAGATCCCAAACTAAACTTGGCCTTGAAATTTGGATCCCAAAATCTAATGATTAGGTAGAATAATAAATTTCAACAATTCAAAAATTCAAAACATACGTATTCGAAATAATACCATGTGATTCTGCATAGAGACCTGTCACCAATGTGTAGTGATTTGGAAATGTTTTGGAGGGAAAAATTGGAGTCATGCTTGCGGCTTTCACTCCATTCGAAATAATTTCAGATAAATTTCCACATTCCTGTTGAAACATTTCCAAATAATCAGGTCTAAACCCATCAATCGAAACCATAATGACAGTTCTATTCAATTTCCTCCCTCCATTCTCATTAAAATCTGGAATAATTTCAGGTTTCGTCCACAATTGATACGCAACTAATCCCAACAATACACTCAACCCAATTAATCCAATCACAGCCACAATTCCAATCCAAAAACTCTTCTCCTTCATAATCTTTGCCATAACATTCACCTGTTCATCACCTTGTCCGAACCCTTCATTCTCCAAATCTTGATTTTCATCTTGATCGAATCTTTTATCGTGATGACGATGAGCGCTGGTAGCAATCAATTCATTATCATCCTCGCTTTCATTATTTTCTTCATCATGTCGTGTGATGGACCTTCCTGCAAGCAGTCGAGACATTTTTTTTTAAGTGTTGGTTAAAAATTCCATTTATGAGGTCATGACCTCAATTAATTGGTTTGAGGTTGGGGGATTACGGTTGACTGGGGATGGTGTTGAAATTGTGGAAATTGAGATTAAGAGTTGGATAGAGTCGTGGTTGAGTAAGAGTTGTTTTTATATTCGAAAGAGGGTTATTCTAGTCGCTAATAGAAGCTTACCATTCGAAAGAGTGTTCAAGATACCTTAATGCAGAAATAGCGCAAATTCTCATTAAATTTAACTTGTCAAAATCTGTCACTGACACAATTTCTTTCAGCAAAAAAAATAACAAGTTTTGTTTATTGATAAACACCATAACAAACCTCAAGAATGGATCAATACACTATCTTGTCAACAATTGCAAGAACTGCCACAAGTCAAGTGTTGATGGTTTCACATAAAACAAGTGGACAACAATTTGCCATCAAACAATTGATAATTCCTGAACGTTTGGAAGAGGAATTGTATTCTTCAATGCAAGGAGATTTAATTGTTGTTCCGAATGAATATTATGATGACGAAAGTGATAGTGATGATGAAAGTTTATCGGAGAAACCAAACGAAATTCATTTACCAATTAGTATACAAACAGAAAATACAAACATTCAAATACCAACAAGTTTTGTTACAGTTGTGGATCATGGAGAAAAAAAGAAAGTTTCGAATAATAATACAACTATCAATATTGCTACTGCTGTGGGTGGATTACATTCGTCTACCATGTTGAATAGTTCAAAGGTGAACAGCGGAAGTTTTAAAAAGAAACAACAAGCTTCAACTTCATCACCAGAACCAACAATTTTTCAAAAAATTCCAACGCCGACACTTTCTCCAAGAATTGACAGTAGTGTTAATAAGGGAATGTTTAATTTATCCATTCAGGGAGTTTCTCCATCCTCACCAGTTTCTAAAACTCACAAACAGCCAACTATTCTCATGGTAGAAAGTAGTAGCAGTGATGAAAGTGATGACGAAACAAGTAAGAATACTTCCACTTATAATAATGTGAAATCTTCACTTCAAGCAGAGATTAAAGCAAAACAAGAAATGAAATATATTCAAAATGAAATTCAAGCTTTAAAGATTTTGGAGAAGGGCCCTAGCTCTTCAAAGTTTGTTAATACTGATGTGATTCGAGTGAGTGTGGAAGATAAGATTTCAGAATTTAAGAAACATATTTGTTTAATGAAGGAGGTGATTGAGGAACCAGAGGAGGGAAAGCTCTGTCTCGTTTTGGAATATGCCAATGGTGGAGATGTTTTCAGTATTATTGAACATTATGATGAGACAACTCCTCTTGGACACATGAAGGAAGAACAAGCTCGTTTCTATTTCAAACAAATTGTACATGGTGTATTGTATATGCACAGATGTGGAGTTTGTCATCGTGATTTGAAACCAGAGAATATTCTCGTAGTGGAAACACCAAATTCAACTCCGTTATTGAAAATTTCAGATTTTGGATTTTGTGGAATTTTGAAAAATAAGGACAAGACATTTACTGACCTGGTTGGAACTGAAAGTTGGTGTGCTCCTGAAATTCTCAATAGAGAACCATATGATGGACTCAAATCTGATGTATGGTCCTTGGGATGTATCTTGTATGCCCTGCTGACTGGATGTTTTGCATTCGATCACGACGATCCTCACGAATTATTGAAACTCATTCAACAAGTACAAATCCAATTCCCTCCCTATATCAGTAAGGATACAAAGGACTTTATTTCAGCCATGATTTGTCACTCTCCAACCAAACGTTTGAGTATTGAACAAGTTCTTGAACATGCTTGGATGAAAAAACCTTCCTATCTTTAATTTTTACAACATTTTTTCAATAAATCTTTTGAATCAACATGTACTATTTCCATTTTCAAATAAATTATTTAATCTAATACATTCGAATAATAAAAATTTTACTCGACTTCCAAAATTGTGCTCGTGACCTAAAAAATAATTATAAAAAAAATAAATTTTGTAGTTTTTTATAATTTCTCAAATTCTCAAAAAAAAATGATGAACAACGAGACAACATCACCCTCCTCATCGAACTTACAAGGAATGAAAAAAAGTTCGGGTACACTCTCATCACCCAATGTTGTCCGATATAGCCAACAAGACTTGGGGAAATTACATGAAATGACAATTGTGGAGATGGATGATGCCGAACCAACAACAGCACCTTTTCCAAATACTACCGATAAGACACAACAACAAGAACAACAAGATGCTACTCCCACACCACTGGAGAGAACATCGGTAGATTTTGATCAATTTATGGAAACACATTCGAGATTATTTAGAAGTAGAAGAACAATGGCTATTATTAATAGTATTCCAAAGAAACATGAAGAACGTACGTGGAGACAAAAATTATATTTGGCTATGGAACATCCTAGATCGAGTTATTTGGCCATGATTGTTACGATTATATCATCTTTAATGACTGTTATCCAAACTGTGTGTTTGGTGTTACGTTCATTCCCTTTCTTCTTTCAATTTGAATTTTTGTGGATTGGTATAACAGGTTCACTTTCTCTGTATTTTATGACTGAGTACTTTTTGAGAATGTTGGCCTATGTGAACAGTTGGGGAGATTTTAGACATTTCATAACTGGTGGTATGAATATTATTGATTTTTTGAGTTTCTTCAGTTTTTGGGTAGATTTTATAATGTTCTACACGGATGTTAACGATCACTTTTATGCACAAACTTTGACAGTTTTTAGAATTTTACGTTTGCTAAAATTGATTAAACTGACAAGACTGTCAGCAAAATTCCAATTGTTAGTCGTGTCCATTCGTAGATCATTTGAATTATTGATTTCATTATGTATTTTAACATTTATGGGAGCTCTTATCAGTTCCACTTTAATTTATTATGCTGAAAGAGGACTTTTTGATGCCAAATCTGGAACTTGGCTTAGACCTGATGGAACACCATCACCATTCTCTAATATTATGGTGTGTATGTGGTTTTCTATTGTCTCCTTAGCTACTGTTGGTTATGGTGATATTACACCAGTTACAGCTCCTGGTAGAATTATTGCAATTATGACAATCTTGTCTGGTATCATGATCATGGCCCTTCCATCTATGGCTATTGGAGGTATTTATGGTAAATTATTGACTGAATTTGATACTGCTACAGATCCAGCCAATAGAGAAAAACAAGAGGAAAGAAAGGAAGCTGAGGATGATGGTATCGATTTGGATCTGGACGAAAGTGAAAAAGAGGAGCAAGATGAATCGAAACAAAAATCTTGGCTCTCAGTTGATGATATTCTATTTGGAAATCAACCTCAAAGCAATTCATTTGGAGATTTGGGAGATTGGTCCAAATTGAACACAAAAGAAATTTCAAGTGTTGATGAAAGTGTTCTTGGCAAGATGGTTGTCCAACAAGAATTACTCATGCAAGCTTGCGTTCAACAAATGGAAGATATGAAACAAGTAATCCAAGAATTAGAGAAGAATCTTTAGTAAAAATTATTGAAGCATTTTGCATATTGCTTGTGTTGGAAGAGTCATGTAATCCAATGCTGTTTTGCCCACAATATCAGGTTGATTCACATCAAATCCAAAATTCTCCATAAAATAGAGCATAGAGCCAACTTCTGTATTAAGATACGAAGCAAAAATATGCAAAGGACTTCTGTTTTGTTTGTTTGAAATGTTGGCAAGTTTAGGTGCTCTCCTGAGAGCTGATTCAAAAACGGTATGTGAAAACTCTGGAGAAGTATTGCATGTCAAAAATGTATCACCATTTTCGTTTGTGTAGAATAAATCTTCTTCCTTTGCAAAGCGTAAAATCTGTGTTGCTACATGTAAATCATTTGAAAAGAGGGCATACGACAAGAAAGGAATATGAAGAGTTTCAATATTAAACTTCTTCAAGTGATTAGTATCAACAATACATCTTACAGGACTGAAAATATCTGAATATTGGAATTGTTCACCTCTCAAATACTCGACAATTGTCAACAATGTGGTTTGCAAATTGAGTGAATGAATATTTGTTAATGCTTCCAGAGCTAGTGATCTAATAAGTTGGAAGAATTTGGCAGAACTATATGTTTTTCTAAGGTGACCAAGTACAAGCTTGAAATCGGCAGGATTCAAAGATTTTAATACTTCTTCCCACGAGTCATTTACTTGCCAACCATATCTGAGAGCATCTTCAACATTACTACCTTGAGAAAATAAGGAAAAGAGTCTTCCATTTTGATATTCATTAGCAATATATACAGCATACTGGAATAGTAAGGGGTGCTCTGCTCCTTCAAAATTTGATTCAATTGGATAGTTTCCATCAATGAAGAGATGATCCATAAATTCCTTCTTTCTTTCAATAGGAATATCATCATCGTTACATGTGTAATGTGATATAATCGTTTCTTGACAGGATGAACCAGAATTAAGTAGAGCAGTAGAAAAAAAAGTAGGTGATAATGAGTTTGTAGTGGTAATCAAAATATTGACAATTGGCCATTTTCTGGCTCTTCCTGTTGGTGTAATGTCCTTATAGTGAGTCCCATCAATTGTGAAAACAAGTCTCTTTGTATTACCATCCAAACTAAAATCATCAATACTTTGTCTAATATCTTCAGAAAGGAAGACTCCAGAAGGCTCCAAAGCAATTGAGACTGTGGAGAGATTTGGGAAAACTTGGATAAGTGGTCCCAAGGCAGAATCAAGCAATTCATAAGTGTCAGTAGTTGGAAAGGTAAACTCGATAATTTCCACATTCTCATGGACAAGTGAATTCTCAGGCTCATTATCTAAACTCATGAAGGAATTGTACAAGGAAAGCTTTCTCAAATTCAAGCAAGATTTGAGCATTACTGGATACATGTCATAATGGAAATCACCATCTAGTTTGATAGATTTGAGAACAGTGTTAACACCAACTATTGGAGCCAACAGCTGTGGATTGACAATAAATGTCTCCGCAATATTGTTATCTGTAAAGAGGACTCTAAGTGAGGCTAAATCAACAGGTAGAGAACGTTGATACATATATGTATGATTGCCAAGATTAGCTTCATGATGAGGTATCAAATCTAGGTGACCAGAGTACATGTTGATAGTATCATCCAAATCTTCTTCAGTAGGAACAGGTTCTATAATTTCTTCAGTAGGAACAGGGGCTGTCGATGGATCTGTTGGAGTGGTACCTGTAGTACCATTTGTGGGTGTATCATTCACTAATACAGTGTCATCTTCATCACTAGAATCTTCCTTGTTGTTTTCCTTGACATCATTTTGTTCAACTCCATATTCTAAAGATTCAATATTAACTATCATTAAATTCTTAATTTGTTGATAATGGAAATACATCAAGACATTGTCACATTCGTTTTTTTCGTGATAATATTGTTGGTCCTTGACAAAAGATAATAGCTTGACCATGAAAAATCTATTTTCAGCATCGAAGCTGGTTAAATCTAAATTTTCAATTGAGAAAATTTTCTTTTTCATTCTCAATGCATATTCTTTGCAGATTAATCTCATTTTGTGACAGGTCAAAAAGCCGCTATCATATACCATTGCACATTCAAATATTCTCTTTTCCTTCAACTTTTCTGGGTTCATTGAATCAGGGACTTGATTTAACAACTCTTCCACACTAATTCCTGAAGTTTTAGAGTTCTTATTGAGCATGTGGGTCAAATTTGGTTCAAAAGATCGTTCGGAAAATGTTGGAATAAAATCAATAATATCAAACACAATATCCCTTGGTAATTGCTTTACCAAGTTTGCATCCAACATTTCTTCATTATTGGTAACATGTCTTTTCAATCGCTTTTGTTGATCATCTTGTATCCATTGTTGTACAACCTTGCTCATATTAGAGTAGTCAGGCTTTCTTCCTTTCTCTTGATCATCTAAAGCTTGTTTGATCAAATCGGAGACAAGCTTTCTCTTCTTTTCCTTTCTTTCCAAATAATTTTCAATAACCTTCCTCTTTTCTAAACGTTCTTTATCGGTGAGGTCGTCATCATAATAATGATGAGCTGATCTTTTTCTCAATCCTCTTGCTGTGACTTTGGTTCTTGCCATTTTTTTTTAAATATTTTTTAATAAATTTGGGCGCCAACTTTACTTTCCACTTCAACAAGAATTTTGTAATCAGAAATGATTTACAGTTAAAAATTAAGAAATTAGAAAAAAATCAAAAAGAATATTACAGCAAGCTTGTACGAAAGAACAAAAATCTTGAATGTAACAAATTATAATCAAATTATTGCAAATAATCGACTATCATCTGCCAACCATAAAAAAAATGCCATCATTCAATCAGGCCATAAATTTACCATCAGCAACTCGGACATCACTTCTCACGTTAACAAAACGAACACTTATTGGAATTGACATCCTAGTACTTGTTGTTCCTTCAATAGTTTTTGCAATTTGGTCCTCAATTTTATTATACGATACTATCAAGATTGATAATTCTCTATTGATTAAAAATTCAAAGAATTATTCGGATCCATTTTCAGTTATTATTGATGAAAATAATAATTCATCAAGTATTTTTAATTCTACAGCTGTTTTTGCTAATCAAGACACTGGCAGTTATGTTCCATTGATTTTTCAATGTTTGACATTTTCGATTTTGTTTGGATTGACTATAGCTGATTGGTTGAATGTTTTGATTGTGAGTTTTGGAGGTGAAATTTGTGAAAGATTTGCATTGTGGAGATGGAAACAGAAAAAGATAAAGGAAAATCCATCACTAGTATTTTCAGAAGAGACAAATGAGAGGGCAGAGATGGAGGATGCTGCAACAGATGCCAACATTCCACCAATTAATGAACATTGGATTGATGAGGATGATACCTGTGAAATGGCTCAAACTACTTGTTTGGCTCATGGTGGTTTCATTATTGTGAAATGGATCATTATGGGAGGTATCATTTTGGGTCTCTTTTCTTGGTTTACCTATGAATTATTGACGACCAATAATAGATTGAAAGGTGGCAAGAGTATTCTCTCTGGACATGATAACAATACCATAATTGGAAACCCTGCAGTTGGTTCACTTGATTCAACCTCTGCCTATTGGATCAATTCTCAATTGGCAACACCACTCAACACCACCACCAACACAACCATGGATGCTTGTGCTACCTTATTTTTCACACCAGTTGGAACCAAAAGTGGCTCTTCCTTTCTAATGCAACGTTCCAAAATCTCTTCCTTTGGAGATTCTGTTTTCATTTACATGTTGGTGAGATGGTTAATCTTTGGTTTGTCTCTCCTCATTTCAATTTCTGTTAGTATCCTTGTTGCTTGCTTTGGGTGTTGCACCTGTTTCTCTGAGAAGAATAACAAGAAACGAAAATCAAATAGAATTGGAGAAAATGTAATCTATCGACCTCTTTCCACTCTATCCGATGAAGAAGACGATTAAAAAATGTAATAATTTCAATTTCACACTCTTGCAATTTGTCCAAGATTCTTGCAAGCAGAAATGTGGCCAGTAAATGGTCAATTCGTCACACCACCGGAAAATTTCAAGCTCTTTCTTTACATGCCCAAATAAATCACTGAGTGATGTAGTGTGGGTCCATTCATTCACATTATCTGAGAGAGCACCCACAATACAAACAAAATGGAATTATGTTTAAGGAGTTTATCAAAAAAAATTGGTCGATTGGTGCTAGCCTTTATCAAAATTAAACAGCCCCACACAAACCAAGTAAGATTGGATAAGCAACAATAAGAGTTTGAGGACGTGCTTTTTTTGAAGAGGAGTAATAAGTAAAACAGAGAGAGAAAGGATGCCTCTTAAGAATTGTTTGATAGATTTTGCAGCCTATTTATTTTGTCCTAATGGTTGGTCGTCATCAGCCAAATCGGAATCAAAGAGAAGAGTTTCAAGATGGAAGAACTTCTTCACCGATAAGGATTCTAGAAGAAATCATATTGCATCAGAATGGAGAAAATACCTGGTGGTTATCCTGTATGTGTTGATCAATATAGGATTATTCATTGAGGCTGCGTGGAGATGGCACGACATAATCGAACCTGTTGCAAACAGTCTAACAGCCTTCCCAAAGGAAGATCGACTTAGGATTACTTGGTATGTTACCTTTGCTAGAGGTTTTGGGCAATTGCTGAATTTCAACTCGGCTCTCTTGATTGTTCCAACAATGAGAACCCTCTCCAATACATTGAGAACATTGAAATTAGGAAACATTATTACACTCGATAAGAATACCGTCTTCCACAGGTATATTGCCTATTGGATTGTTGTTTGCACTGTTGGGCACGGATTCTTCCACTAGTAAGTTATTCATTTCTTAACATTTACCAAAAATACTGTTTTTCTTAATAGTTTGAATTATGCTAGCTATTACTTTGCCTATACTAATACACAAACCAAGGTTGAAAATTCCTTCATGGCCTGTTGGATTCAAAAGTATGGTATTACTGGTAACTTATTGTGTTTGGTCATGTACTTGATGTATGCCACAAGTCATGCAAATTATAGAAGAACCAAGAATTATACTGTTTTTTGGTATACTCACCACTTGTTTATTGTGTTCTATGTTCTTTTGCTTGTTCACGGAAAAGTGTTTTGGATTTGGTTTTTGGGACCTTGTGTCTTGTACTTGTTTGAAAGAATTTTGAGAAATGTTAGAGGTTCTGAGGAAACCATTGTAAAGAAAGTCAATTGTTTACCGAGTAGAGTATTGGAATTAGTATTGGAAAAACCAAGATTTGATTATCGTGCTGGTCAATATTGTTTCATTAATTGTCCACTTATCAGTAGATTTGAGTGGCATGCTATGACTAGTAAGTTTTTAAAATAGTTTTCATTTTCTAGAAAAAGAAAATAGTTTCTTCTGCTCCTGAAGATGAATATTTACATTTCCACATCAAGTGTGCTGGAGATTGGACTAATGCTGTAATGGACTTGTTCAATCCTAAACAACATCAAACCGTTGTAATTGATAAACCAATGACACCTGACAATAAGGATTATTTGATAAAAATTGATGGTCCTTTCGGTACTGCAGCAGAGTAAGTTGTTAAACGAATCAATGGCTTATTTGAAAATGTAATAGTGAGGTATTTGACTATGAAACAGTTGTTTTAATTGCAGCTGGTATTGGTGCTACACCATATGCATCTTTGTTGAAACATTTTAATTATACGTTGGATCTTGAAAAGAGAGGAGGAAAGCCATTGAAGATTAAGAAATGTTTCTTCTACTTTATTAATAGAGATCACGGAAGTTGGGAATGGTTTTCTAACTTGTTGAATGAAATGGAAGACCATCACCCTGAATTTTTCGAGCTCAATACATACATGACTGGTAAATTGAAGGCAGAAGAAATTAAAAAGCTCTATTTCGGAAGTTCTGAATATCAACAAGCTACTGGTCACAAACAAACTGCTGATGTTCTTTTGAGAGCCATGTATGACTATACACCTGTTAGTTCTGATGAGTTGGAACTCCATGCCAATGATATCATTTCTTTGAAGGAACAAGACGAATCTGGATGGTGGGAAGGAACCAATCTCACTACCAATGAATCTGGTTTATTCCCAAGCAATTACGTTATTCACATTGATGCACTCACCAAGTTGAGAGAAAATAAGAATCGTCACTATGGTAGACCAGATTGGGAAAGAGATTTGGCTTCTGTTAGAAATTATGCAGAAAAGGCTCATACTCGTAAGGGAAGAGCTAAGGTTGGTGTCTTTGTTTGTGGTCCTCCAGCATTGTCAAAGGATGTCTATTCGTACTCTTTATCTATGAGTAGTCCTACTGTTCAATTCGTTTATCACAAGGAAAACTTTTAATTACAATATTTAATATTCAATCAAGTGTTAAAAACACCTTAATAAAGTTCATTTCCAACTTGATATTAAATAATTGAAATAAAAATAGAATTCATGTTCAATTAAAATAATAAAATTATTAATAAAAAATATGCCACACATTGCAGTAGAAGGATGTTGTCATGGTGATCTCGACAAGATCTATGCAACACTAGAGCATGCCATTGAACAAAAACAATTAAAGGATCAACAAGAATTAGCCTTGAAATCTGTCGAATCGGATGATGATTTTTTAAATGCTCTCGAAGAATACAAAAAACCAAGCATTGATCTCTTACTTGTTTGTGGAGATTTTGAATGTATTAGACATGCAGATGATTTAAATAGTATGAGTGTACCTGATAAATATAAGGAATGGAAGGATTTTCACAAATATTTCCCTCAAAGTCAACTCCGAAAGGAAGGAGAAGAAACTAAAGTAGCACCAATGCCAACATTATTCATTGGAGGTTTGTTTTTTTAATTTCAACACATAATTCTAATTTACATTGGATTAATTTTCATCTAATCTGGTAAAATATGATGATGATGAATTTTAATAATTAATATTTTAGGAAATCATGAAGCTAGTCTCTACTTGATGAGTTTACCATTTGGTGGATTTGTGACTGATAAAATTTATTTTATGGGAAATTGTGGATTTGTTCAATTCAAGAAGAAGTTTTCAAATGGTAGAATGACCAGTATGAGAATTGGAGGTTGGAGTGGAATTTATAAGGATAATGATTTTTGGAAGGATAGTGCAAGATTTTTACTTCCAAAACAAGAAAAGGGACTCGCTCAGGAAGAAGATACAAACCTAGGAACTACTCTGTTCGATGAACAACATGTACCATTCTCTGAGAATGCAAAGAGAAGTGTTTATCATGTGAGATTTTTCGAATTTTGGAAAATAATGAATATGAAACTATGTTTGAAAGCTAAAGAAGAAAGTCAACCTCTTGATATTTTCCTTTCGCATGATTGGCCAACTGGAGTGACTAGACATGGTGATTTGACAAATATTAGACGTTTTAAGGATCATGTAATGAAGGAAATTGAGGAATCAGATCACAAACTTGGAAATCCTTGGGGAGAGAAATTATTGACCGAATTAGAGCCAAAGTTTTGGTTTGCTGCCCACATGCATTGTAAATTCTCCTCCGTTGTTACACATACAGAGACAGTTTCTCAATCTAGCACTTTGAAGAAGAATACCAAATTCCTTGCTCTGGATAAGTGTTTACCAAAGAGAGACTTTTTACAAATGGTTGATATGGATCACTATATTGAATACGCCAACCACGATGAACTATTGGAAAATGAAAAGGAAGGAGAATACTATTTTGATTTGGATTGGCTTGCCATCACAAAATTGTTCCATGCCTACAGATATGAAATCTCCAAATTATTGAAACAACCAAATATTCAAAAGATTCAAAGAAATGCCGATCAACTAGACAAGAATTTCAATTATTCTCAAATTGTAGAACACGTCAACTCTACGCCTCTCCCATTCATAAAGAGTAGAATGTATCCTCTCTTCACTTTGGAAGAAATTGAGAAGGAAAAGAATTGGATTCTCGAGAGAAGTAAGACCTATGATGATGGAAAGTTTGCCAATTTGCGTATCCCAATACCAACAAGCTATTCTTTGGGTGCTTTGAATGGTAATGTAAATGAAAGATTGCCACTTCAAATGAATCCTCAAACTGTTGAACTATTGGACTTTCTTGGATTGAATGAATAAATTGTAAAATTACAGTGATTTACGATACGAATGATTATTCCAATGGCACAAACAATAATAATGTAATTAATTAGGTTTAAAATATCAATTCCAATCTCCAAAACACGTTCCAGTACTGAACCCCATTATCATTATTCCCAATCAAAACAAGATTGAGATTTATTCGAATGTTGTGAATAAGTAAATTGTAAGGCATAAGAAACAGTTGCAATATTTTAATATTTAATTACAGTCCAGGTCCGAGTGGAACTCTGTGAATTACTGAAAAACTAGTTTCCTTATCAGGTCTGTAAATAAGACAAACTTCATTCACTCTGACAGTGACAGGTTTCCATTTAGAATTTAGTTCCTTAACCTTCTTTTCCACAAACTTTAAAGCTTGTTGTCCAACAGTCAAGTGAGGCACAAATTCACCCTTCTCATTCTTCTTCTCATCACAATATGGAAATAGTTCTGCAATCAATGCTTGCACTTGTTGCAATTTCTTTATACTTTCCTCATCCTGATCCAACCACATAACACTCGAATTCTTGGCAAAATAATTCACTCCACTAAATGTAATATCAAACGGCTCAACACGTGCCAATTTCTCCCTAATTAATTCCTGAGCTTGTTCAAAGTATTGCTCTGGAATGAACGGAAAGAGGAAATTAATGTGTGGAGGCCATCTTTCATAAGCTTTATCCATCACTGATCTCATCTCTTGAATAGGTTCCCATATTTCTGTTGGTGCAATAAAACAACAAGCTGTATGGAAAGCCTTTGATGAATTATTCTTTACATCTGAAGAGGATGATGAAAATATATTTCCAAATGTTGATTCAATTTCTGTGGTTCCGTACTCCATCAAGAGTGCTTCCTTTTCCTTCTTACCATTATTCTTCTTCTTTTGATTATTATTTAAATTATTGTTATTATTATTAGCTTGTGATGGTGATGAGGCAACATGTTGAGAGGAGAATGAAAATTGTTTAGATGTGGATGACGACATGATTAATAATGATTCTGCAGCTAGTACTTGTCTAATTAAATTATTCGTTATTGTCTTGTTTTTAAATAATATGAAACTCTTTGATCGGAGCAAACGCGAGTTGTAACTTTTTAAAATAAATTTTTTCATGATATCAATTTTGGAAATGCACAGTTTGATAAGCTTGAAAGTTTGATTATCAACTTGCACCTTCACATCATTGTATAAGTGGCGTGTAATATTAACACAATACATTACAAAGATTACAATACAGATATTTTGTAAAAGTTTCACTTGTTGATTGATGAAAGGTTGTGCTGAGAAGAGTGTTCTAATGTTTAGAGTGGAATGTTAGGGACTTAAAAGCATAATTCAGTTCCTTGTGTAAGAAGTCGTGCTGAGAAGGGTTTCTAACATTCGATTGAAAGTTAACGATTATGTGAAATAAATCATCTTTCTAAAAAAGGGAAAAAAGAGTTTTTGTGGTAGGTTTGTAGCGTGTTTTGGTTGAATCAAGCTCTTAGTGAAAAACAACGGCACTTTCAACAACTTTCCAATAGTCACCAACTTGTCATTGAAATGTTTTCATAATTAAAAAGAGAAGAACCACTAAACATTTCACCAATTATCATACTAATCAAAACATGCTTTACCAAATATTAATTCTTACAACAAGTTCTCTTTGTTTCTTTAGAGTGACAGTGTTGAAAACTGTTCGAAACTTGAATAAAAATCCTTCGAAAGAACATCCTGACCAAAAATGACACGTCTCATCACACAACAACACTAAACAAATCGGATCGTTGACGCATAGTTCTCAAATAGTGATACTGATTTTGATGAATTTGCTCATTCGTATTTTCTGATACATTGCTTTTACTTTACCAAGAAGAAAAAAACCAATCGATTATTGTTTCACTATTCACTGCCATCAACACTCCATTCTCCAATCAAACTCATTTGGCATCAAGAAGTGTTGGACGAATCACAGAGAAATTAGACGAAAGAAGAAGAAACTCATCTTGTTAAGCCTTTTTTCCAAAGAACAATTCACCACCTCTTCCAATACTGTTGGCAAACACCGGGTTATTGCTTTTCTGGTGTTGTTTCCAATCGACCTCCACCACACAAGAGCTCTTTTGAAATATTACATCACATCCAACAAAACAACAACAATATAACATTATCATCCTACATTGGAAATTGATCCTCATTCTCATCATCATCATCTGCTTAGTCTCATACAACATTTTGTTGCGGCAGCATCACCATTCTGATATAATTTCCTTTATCATTACTTTCCCAATACCACTACTGTACCATCATCATTACTAAACAAACAATACATTAATCAAACATGCCCAATAATCCTTCCCCTACTACTTCTCAGCAACATGTTCTTTCCCTTCTCCAGCAACAACAACAGCAACAACAGCAATTTTTACAAATTATCAATTTGGCGGCAAACAACAATCCAAGTCCCAACCAGCTACAAATGAATCCACAACAACATGTTTCCCTCCAAAATCTCAATCAATCCCCAACCACTCCAAACAGCAGTAGTACTAGTGGCAGTCAAACACCTCTGAGTACTGGTAATGGGAGTCCTGCTAATGGCTTGTCTCCTTCCCTAATTTTCAATACTTCTTCTTCGATAAGTAATAATAATAATACAAATGGTGCTGGTGGTGGATCTGGAAGTGGAAATAGCATGCAAACAACACCTTGGTTTTTGAATCAAAACAATAATATTAATAATAATAATAGTGGAAATAATAATGGAAATAATAATAATCAGCAAAGATCAAATTCATTGGGAAGTTCGAGTCATGTGAATGAATCATCATCTTTTGGAAATAAGAAATTAATAATGAATAATAATAATAATTTATTATTGAATCATGGTGGTCAATTGATACATCAAGGAAATTCATCACCTTCTACTCCTCTCAATAACAAGTCAATTCTGCAATCAATGATTACTCCACCAAGCACTTCATCCTCACCATCTACCAATAATAACACGACTCCACCATCAGCTAATTTCATTCCTCCTGGTTATGTTCCTCTGAATGCTGTTTCGAATCAACAAATTGTTGGTGCTCAACCACAACAACAACAACGAAACATTTCAATGCAAAATCAGCAAGTGGGAAATCCATTAGTTGAAAAATTGAGACAATTGTTACAATTAATGAGGATTAGAGGAAGATCCAAATCATCCAATGTTCAAAACAGTTTCACACCAAATGATAACTAATCAAATTATGCAAATTGTACAACAAATAGGAGGAGATGGAAGTGCTTTTGGTGTTGACATGTTTCTGAATTCTCTAAAATCTCAACAACAACAAATTAATGTAAATAATAATAATAATAGAAATAATAGTGTGATGCAATCTGTTCATCCTCAAACAGTTGGCCACCTTTCACAGCAAGCCCAACAGATGCAACACAATATATACAAACAAACACAACAACAAGCATTGATATCCCAGCAATTTAGTCCAATGATTTCTACGACCACTTCGATATCTTCATCCTCAGTTGGATCGAATAATACTCAACAAGTGGACACTATGATGTTGGATAATGATATGGATTTTGAAATATTCAAATCTACAATATTAGGAAATGACAATACAGTATTTCCATTGAAATTGGATTTTAGTGATCTAGTTGACTTTAAAAAGTAAAATGTACCATATTAATTGTTCAACTTTTTTGATGGGATTCATTACCTTACACATTAATAATTGATTTGTTTCCATTCCTCATCTAAATTCAGTAGAAAGTTCATAAAACTTTGAACTTTTTTACAAATCAAAAAAAAATGAAAAACGACAAATCCAAGGAAAATGTTGATAAAAGTTCTTCGGAGGAAATGGTAATACAAAATTCTAAAGATATGACTACATTGATCGATTCTTGTCGGAAAATTCAAGAACAAAAGCAATATCATTCCATTACACAAATTGAATTTATTAATCTTGCTACTAACAAATTAATACATCCATTCAATAATTACAATTTAAAAGGATTTAATATGAGACAAATTAATTTAGCAGATTTTCTAGTGAGAGATACAATTATTTCAGATAGTGATTTTACTGAAAGTAAATTGGAAAATATTCAATTCATTCTTTGTAAATTTAATAATAGTAATTTTAATTATGAGAATTTTGAAAATGTTACATTTACAGATTGTATTTATGATGATAATTGTTCATTTTCAGGTGAAAAACAATTAAAAGGAATAGCTCTAAATCAAAATAGTATTAAATTTGAAATTTTGGATCAAAAAAATAATTGGATTATTAATTATTTAGATCTCAATAATAATGTTGGATATAAACTTGCTAAATTTATTGGTAAATTGAATAATTTAATAACACTAAATATCACTTCTTGTAATATTGGAGAAGAAGGTTCAAAGGAAATTGCTAAATTAAGTAATTTAACAGAACTTAAAATTGATAATAACAATATTGGATCTGAAGGTGTAAAATATATTGCTCAATTGAGTAATTTAACATCACTTAATGTATATAATAATAACATTGGAACAGAAGGTGCAAAAGAAATTGGTAAATTACTAAATTTAAAAACTCTTAATATTGATAATAATTATATTGGAGATGAAGGAGCACAAGAAATTTCCAAATTAATCAATTTAACATCATTAAATATGTATAAAAATAGTATCGGATATGAGGGTGCAAAAGCAATTTCTAAATTGGGTAATTTAAGAGCTCTTACTATATATAATAATTATATTGGAGAAGAAGGTGCAAAAGAAATTAGTAAATTGACTAACTTAACCTCGCTCAATATCAGTAATAATAATATTGGAGATGAAGGCGCAAAAGAAATTACTAAATTAAGTAATTTAACAGGACTTAAAATTGATAATAATAATATTGGATATGAAGCTGCTAAAGAAATCAGGCAATTGTTGAAGAATTTAAAATATTTGGGAAACATCAATTAACTAGGTCTCAGTTCAGTAAAGCGAAGATTCATGCAAAGATTCCAATGAGTGTTATTTTTGCTGGTGGTAACAATCCTTTTCAATCAACTTATCAATGAAGAATATGATATTTAATATACATTTAGAATTTATCATCAACAAGTGGAGTAATATTCTTGTAAGGTTGATTCTTGAAAAATTCGAGAATGAAATCGTCTGTATATCTCAAACTGAAATGGGTCAAAATGAATCTAGTTTGTGGATGTTTCTCAATGTAAGGTTTGATGTGATTCCAGTGCATGTGATAAGCTCCCAAAGCTGTTTCTTCTTGTCCATTTTCTAAGAAGGTACATTCCACAACAATGACTGGAAATTCCAATAAGAATGGATTCATTTCAAAGACACGATAAGTAGTATCTCCCATAATTGCAATTCTTGGTTCTAGAATGATATCAGAAATTTCATCACCTTTTTCTTTTCTCAATTTGGCAATTTCAGCTCCCTTGAGCTCTGAATATTCTTTTTTCAGTTTTTTCTTTCTTTCGTAAATGGCATACCCATTACAAGGCACACTATGATCACACTTTACAACTTTGGCCACATAATTATCCTTTCCACCAATTTTCTCAATCAAATCTCCAGGTTCCACACCAATGATATCAATTGGTTTTCTTTCCTGAACACTTTCTCTTGGCAATGTCTTTCCAGCATTCAATTCCTGACAACTATGCAAAAAGTTCTCTACAAATTCCACCTTTCCCTTTGGTACATAAACTCTATTAGGATTTGATCTATTTACAAAAGCAGGTTGACAAGCAGCCAAATAAAACGTATGATCCGCATGTGTATGAGTAATCAGAAAAGTATTAGGATTTTGACTCATATACTTTTTATCAATAAATCCCATATCGATATTACATGAGAGTTGGGGAATTTGAAAGTAGGTAGCCTCCGCACTCTTTGAATGCCCAACGAAAGATAGGGCTGGATAGGAAGATGATTTTTTATGTTCCGATGATGATGATGATGATTGTGGTGGTGGAGATGATGATGATGATTGATCGGAAGCATCTTCTGATGAACCTGTTGGTAATTCATAAATATTCGGAATGACTTTCATGATGAAAAGTACTTTGTTTGATTTTTTTTGATTTTGAAAAATTAATTTAATATTTTTGAAATTGAAGAAAAGCAATTTTGAAATTGAGGTTGAAATTGAGGTTAAAGTTCAGATTTGAAAATTATAAATTAAATTTGTTTCATGTGAGTAAGATGATGAAATTTAAGGTTCATGAAATTAAAATACCAATATGGAAGGTTGACAGGATGCATTGTAATAGTTTCGAATACAAATTGAAACGAAAAAGAAACCTTTCCAGCTCATTAGCTTCATATTTGGCAACAAACAAAATATCACTCCAAAAAAATGTTTAAACATTCCCTCCTTGCAATCCTTGCATTACTTTGCTTTACACATGTCTTTTCAACTGTGGCCACCTTCAATTTTCTATTCGAAAGACATGAATCCATGAAGAGATCAACACTTCAAACAACAACCACTACTACATGCTGCCAACCAAATGTCTTCTCCCTAAAAGGCATCTTAAATCAAGTTGCCATTGGTAAAAACGCAACTTTACAACCACTCACCGGAACCATTCAATTATTCGCAGATTACAATCTTGGAAGAATTAGACAAGATGCAACATTCTCTGCCAATGGAATGAACTCGTCCATTTCTAGTTATGCATTCAAACTTTCTGAAAATCTTGCTGTCAAGTATGATATTCGTGGCGAGGGCAATTGTGCATGTCATCAGATTTCGTCCACTCATGATTTTCAGCCAATGTGTGTCCTTTCGTCCAATCAAATAAGAAAGGCAAAAATTGGAAAATATAATGCAAAGAATGTTATCTATAATGTAATGGGAATGAATGCTAATATTTGGGTTTTTTATGAGAATCCAGACGAAAGTGAAAAGTGTTGGATTTTGAGTTCGTATTTCCCAGATTCGTTTTCTCTTCAGGAAATTGTGTATTATGATCAAGTTGAGAAGGTTGACCAAAATGTTTTTAAGGTTCCTAGTTATTGTCCAAAGATTGAACAATGTTCTGATTGAGAATATTTCAGTTTCGAATAAAAATTTATTGCTCAATTGAAATTATCCCAAAATTCCATTGTTGATTTTTCCTTAAATACAAAAGGAATTTCCAAAAATCCTCTAATCATTTTCAATAAATCAATTCCAACCAAAAGTCCGATCATTCCCGCTAATTCCCCAAGTAATCCCTCAATTGAGTTTGTGTAAACTTCCTCAATTTGAGTTGTACTGAGAGAGTTGTAAGTTACTGAAATAGTTAGTGAAGTTTCGTCTGCATTATACGTTCTGAGAACTGTCTTTTCAGAATTCCATTTTGTAGAATTGAGATTTGGATTATCAATTGTTGGTTTTAATCGAGTGGTGATGACTTTGGTCAACATGAAAAAGTTATCTAATGAGGGAAGGGCATAATTAGTTTCGGATAATAAATCAGGAGTGGTTCCTTGCTCATGGAATGAAACAATGAATCCCATTTTGACTTTTTTAGAACTGATTTCAGTTGGAGTTGGAGCATTCAATCCGAAAAAACTGTTTCGAATAATAGACAAGAAATCAAAAGAAATTGACATGAAATTCAAACTATTGTATATTACTTACAATGTTCTAATTCCATTATATCCAATCAATGACGATTTCATTAAATTAGCACTCGAACTATCCGAAATATTATTAAAAACATAACAATGATACTTGTTTCCTCCCTGTTCAATTTCCTTATAATAAACCTGGTCAGAATTGTAATTATTCGAAGATTGAAAATCAACAGCTCCATCAAATCGAAGGGCACAAGCATTACAATCAGAAGGACCTGCATTCCAATTACAAACTCTATTCGAATCAGTTTCCAATAATTGTAAGAAAACAAATGAGCCAACTTACGTAACTGCTGGCAGGGTAAGGGAAGTTGCTGGAATCCAACTCATGGTTGTGGTTGGCTTGGACATGGCCTCAACATAACTCATCGATTGTCTAATGGTGTAATAGACCATGAAACTCAACATGATGAACCAGCCAATCATGGTCAGGATGTGATACCATTTGAAGGGGAATTTCCAGCCACATAGCTCAACATGTTGGATTGGCTCATCTGGGTTGTCTTTGATTGGACTGACATCTTGTTTGTTGATGGTGGCTCGTTCCTTATTTTCGGTTGATGTTGGGTTGGTTTCTTGCATTTCAATGGGAGTCACCGAATTGGTGGCCATTTTTTTATGATCTTTAGTATAACAGTTTGGCGGTAATTTACTACAATTTTTGATTCTTTCTTACTTGAGCTAGTACATCATTCGGGATGGCTTTTTATTAACGAAAGTCTTCAAACTGATACAGTTACTTCAAAACACAAAATATCAAGGCATATGTAAATTCAAAGAATTAATTGAAATTATCCCACAACTCCATAGTTGACTTTTCTCTAAATATCAAAGGTATCTCAAGCAAACCTCTTATAGTCTTTAAAATATCTATTCCCATAAGCAATCCCAGCATGCCTATTTGAAAAAAGTGAGATGCTCATAATACAATGTTTGAGAAGTAACATACCTGCAAGTTCTCCCAATAATCCTTCAATTGAAACTGTCAATACTTCTTCAATATGATTAACATTTAGGGTGCCATAAGTAACAGCGACTGTTAGGGATGTATTACTACTAACTGTTGACATTAGAACAGTGTTTTTGGAAGCCCATTCAGTAGTTTCCAGATTTTGATGTTCAACTGAAGGATTTAACCTTTTAGTAACTTGTTTTGTTAGGATATAAAAGTTATCCAATCCAGGTTGGGCATAGTTGGTTTCAGAAAGAATGTTTGGAGTTGTTCCAGGCTCATGGAATGATACTGTAAAACCCATTCTTTTGATATTGGCCTTGATTTCCTTTTCGTTTGGTTCTCTCAGGGAAAAATCGCTAACATATGAGCTTCTACTAACAGAATAATCGTCAATTACTTACAACCTTCGCATTCCAGAATAACCAGTAAGCCATGATTTGAATACTTTGGTGCTATCTGTGATATTATTAAACACATAGCAGTGATAATTTCTTCCACCTTGAACTATTTCTTTGTAATAATATTGATCATCAGTATACGGGGTGATCGATTCTTGACCGTCTTCCCTAGTCATGGTAAATTGAATTTTACTATCTTTATGACCTACCTTTGAAAATCCAAACACCCACTATAATAGATCCAACATGCATCACAATCAGAGGGACCTGCATTCCAATTGCATACTCTAATTTTGAATTCCTATATTCAATTTCAATTGGAATTTAACTTACGTGATGGCTGGTAAGGCTAGTTTTAAAGTTGATTCCCAAGACATCGAAGTGGTTGGCTTTCCCAATGCCTCACTATAACTCATCGCCTGCCTAATAATATAATAAATCATAAATCCAATCATGATAACCCATCCAATCATGGTCAGTAGATGAAACCACTTGAACGGAAACTTCCATCCTCCAATTTTTACACTATTTCTTCTTTCCTCTTCGTCTTCGGCTGTTGTTGTTGGCTTCATAGAAGCTGCAGCAGAACCTCCTGCTTCCTTCTCTTGCATTTCAATTGGGCTAACGGAGGTTTTACTCATTTTCACTTTTTTTTTAAGATTGAAGTGAACCTTAATAACAGATCTTAAGCGTTATTTTTTTTGGCGCCAAAATACAAGTTCATCCAATTACGAAAAAAATATAACAACAAACTAACAAAACCATCATTTGATTTTGTGAGGAGAGAACTAAGTAGCAGATCGGAAGATAGTTGTTTGAAAAATGATGGCAGCACCTGAAAAACAATTTAATTGGAGAATTATAAAACATGTACTAGTACTCTTGTTTTGGTTCATCAATACTGGTGTTTTTGCATATTATATTTATTCACAGGCAGTTTCATTTATCAAGACTGAACAATCTCCTGTGACTTCAACTTCCTATTCATATGAAGATCCATTGAACTATCCGACTATAACAATTTGTGATTGGAGTAGAGAATCATCATTTGCGGCTACTTGTCCTGTTTGTACATTTGAATACATTTCGTGTTATTGGTATAATTATGCAGATGACACAAATAATCCAGTGGCTTGCCCTCTAACATTTACCTTTTTTAAGGATGGTCAATCTTGCTTTGAGGCAAATGCAGATATAAGCAAATTGCTGACTGCCAAGAAAAAAGGATATCTAGGATCAATCAACATGTTATTTAGAATTCCTATCAATTATACTGATCCACTTCTTAGTGCTTACAGACTTGGAGCTTCTATCACTTTTAGAGAGCCAGGAACTCTACTGGGAAGCATATTTGCTGAAACTAATTATGCCATTCCAGGTCGATATAATTTATTTTCAATCAAAAAGGTGGTCTACGAGAAATTGCCTAAACCTCAGACCACCTCTATTGATGAGATTCCTTTACCAACAACAGATTCTTCAACAAAAACAATTTCATACGAGGCAACCTATTCAGCCCTCAAACGAGTGAAAACTGCAGACATGACAGACAATGATTATCTGGAGCAAATTGAGGTGGCATTCACATATGAAGAGTTAAAGACAACAACAATTACAGAAATTCAACAAAAAGATGGTTGGAGTTTGTTTGGAGAAGTTGCTGGAATGGCTGGGTTATTGCTTGGATTGGATATTTTGAAATCGTTTAGACTTTTCCTAATGTTTCCTCGTCTTTTCTTCAGACAAACCTCACTTGGAAAAATTTGGGAAGCTATGAATTAACAACAGACTAGGACAAATAATAATCGATTATGATATTTTTGTAAATATAAAGATTTTAAACATTGCAACCTAAAAATATTATCGTAATCATCCTGAAAAAAAATGCCAACTGTCAAACTTGGAGTGACACTGTGCCTACTTGTTCTTCTTCAACTACTATTCATCACAACAACAAAGGCAGACATACCAGTACACTGCGTTCATGATGACATTGCCAACAATGAGTGGAAATTATTCATCACACCATCCATCTACTCCGTTCCAAATAGAAATTCTAAAATTGCCTTCAGAAAACAATTTGTTCCATTAAATTGTACAAGATTTGACAAGGAAGATTTGACAATTTCTAGGGTATTACGTGTCTATCTTGAATATCCAAATATTGTCCGTGATAGTTTGGATAATTCTAGAATTGGAACTTGGACTATGGTTTATGATCAGGGATTTGAAATTACTTTAAAGGATGATTTTAGTGAGATTAGTTTATTTGCATTCAGTTCATTTGAAAGAATGAAGAATGATACTCAACTTATCAAGTCAAAGTGTCATGAAACTTTTGTAGGAAATTATCGTAAAACTTCGAGAGATGGAAAGAATTCACTTGGATGTTATTATGCTGAAAAGACTAAACCATCTGCAAATGATGTTAAAATTTCATTACCTGTCAATACTCTATTGTACAAGTATTTTGATCCAAAGAATAATGGAAAAGGATTAAACGTTAATAAGAAGGATTCAGATGATGATTTTGAAAGTGAATCTGATTTGGATTTGAGAATTTTGAGAACTATCAAACCATCAAATACCAAATTCAAGAACGACAAGACCTTAATTGATTGGATTAATACTCAATCTGATGATTTGGGTTGGTCTGCTCAAGCTTATCCACAATTTGAAGAAATGACAGAAGCTGATCTTATCAATCTCTCAGGTGGATGGAAATCACTCTTCTTGGGCCATTGGAACAAATGGAGACCAATTGGTTTGGATGATGCAGAATCATTTGAGAGCACTTCTGATAACTTTGCCATTGCCAATCAAGAATTATTGAACCAAGTTGAAAAATTACCAAAGAACTTTGACTGGAGTAATGTTGATGGAGAAAATTACGTTCCAGATGTAAAAAATCAGATGGCGTGCGGATCTTGCTACGCTTTTGCTGCAGTCACAGCTATTGAATCTCGTATTAGAATTCAAAGCAGAAATAATGTCAGAGAACCACTTGCAGTTCAAGATATTGTCTCCTGTAGTCCATACGCTCAAAAGTGTCATGGTGGTATTCCATATGCTGTAGGTCGTCATTTACGTGATTTTAATCTCGTTCCAGAATCATGCTTCCCTTACAAGGGTTCAGAAAATGTTGCCTGTTCATCCAAGTGTAAGAATCCAGAATATATTGTCAAGGTCACAAAGTATAGATATGTCTCTGATTATTATGGAGGTTCAAATTATGCCAACATGATGAAGGAAATTTATGAACATGGTCCAATTTCTGCCAGTTATTTGATTTATCCAGACTTTAAGGTAGGTTATTTGAATATTATTTAAAGGTTTCATTAATTTTTTATCTAGTACTACTCGAAAGGTATTTACAAGCATTCTGGTAAGGGTTATCCAATGAAAACAGATAGAATCAATCGTGAAATGAATGGATGGGAACCAACTACTCACTCAGTTGTTATTACTGGTTGGGGAGAAGATCCAAAAACTGGTGAAAAGTATTGGAATGTTTTGAACTCTGTAAGTAGTTGATTCAATAATTTTCATTCTCATTCAATTAATTCTAAAAAACCAAAAGTGGTCTGAAAGCTGGGGTGAGAATGGTAGATTCCGTATCAAACGTGGAAATGATGAATGTGCTATTGAAGCTGAAGGAGTTGCCTTCTATCCAGAAGTAATCTTTATGAATAAATATTAACAACTCTGGAGAGATTTACTTCTTTTGAGATTTGGCTTGTTGATCTACCAGTTGTCTGCTTCGTAAATCAGCTTGTCTGATTGGTTCTGGAATTTTATGGATACAAGTCATGGTCACAACTTTGATGGCAGTATCGAGACATACTTTGTGGCCAATACTAACGTACAATGGTCTGATGGATTTATCAGTTGGTTGCAGAACTACTCCTAATACTTGACCACTAGTTTCTCCAATTAGATCTGCATAATCTCCCTTTTTCTTTAATTTTTCTGCCACTAGCTCTTTAACTCCTTCTCTTGTTAATCCATCAACGTACTATGTTATCATTGATTAATACTATTAATGTAATTTTACAAAATACATACTAGTAATTTTTTGGCAACTCCAATTGTTGGAATATTCGCTTCAACACCCAAATGAGCTGCTAATCCAAATCCTCTCTGATGCAAAATTCCATTTCCATCCACTAGAATGATTTGTGGTTTAGGTTGTGTTGAATTTAACATTTCCTCAATCATGATTTTCAAATGTGGAACTTCTCTAAATGCAAGACTAATTTCCATGTAAATAATTTCAATACAACAGTAAACCTACAATCCTGGAATGTATGGATGAGCCATTCTCACCTTTTCATACTTTTCATATACAACTTTCAAATCAGGAAATGACAAGACAATCAAACTTGCAATAGCATCCCTCGGATCAGTCTTATCAAAACTTATATCCACTCCTCCAACAAACTTTAATGTAGAATCCAAATCATTCGGATCAAAATCAATCTCATCACGAATACTCAATTTTTCCTTCAATTCATCCTGTTGAATAATCCACTCTGATTTAATTCTCTCCAATTCTTCCTCAGAAATTCCTGAATTAATATTCATTGCCATTTCATCGACTATTACTGGTTCACCACTATCTAATGATGTTGTTGCTACTGATGCGGAGGAATCAACAGCATAGGAAGAAGAATCCTGATGCGTAGTATCTGTAGAGTTGCTTTGCGACATTTTTTTTGTATTGTGTTTTTTGTAAACAATTTAGAAATTGCACTCTGATGAAGATATTGAAGAAAATGGAAAGAGTTTTTAATTAGAAATGAAGAGTAGATATTGGGTGAGAGGCGATTGAGTGTTTTCCAATCAAATTTTGCAATTTGATTCAGTAAAATACCCTCAATGAAAGAATTCTTTGATCTGAACAAAAGTTCAATTCAGAATTGAGTAGCATTACAAACAAATTACACAAAAAAAATGTCTCAAATTGAGGAGATGATTACACCTGAAATTCTCACTCATCACATTTTCACCTTCCTTGATGGTGTCGATTTATTCGTCGGATGCGTCCTTGTATGTCGGAAGTGGTACGAGTTGGTTTGGGTTTCTCCCAAAAAACTAGTGAAAATTCATAATTGTAATGCCAAGTTGAGTCTGCTGATGGGATTGGGAAGATTTAATAACGTGAAAGGCTTTGTGTTGTATAATTTTGATCATTCTACGTTGGGATCATTGTTATCTTCCAAGCAAATTTGTAAATCTGTAGAAAAATTAATTATTGATGGGCAAGATGAGAATTCAATTGGAAAGGAAGGAGCAATGCTGATTACAAGACGTAAACTTCCCAATTTGAAATATTTATCCCTTAAGGAATTGTGTAAATCTGCAATTTCAATCATATTGAGAGCGGATAATTTGAGGAGCATTGAGGAATTGTGGATTTCAAATAGTGAGGATGTGAGTGAAGACCAAGTTAAGCAAAAGATTGTGTTTGCTAATTTTCCAAATTTGCAAATCTTGAATGGAATTAATTTATATGAAACAGTTCGCTGAGCTGAGGATTTTGAATTTTTATTGCTTTCAAGAATTAAATTTGTTTACAGGACTCATTATCATTTTCCAATAGCTCTGATCTTACTTCCTCTTATGTCTGCAATTTCTCTACCCAACTTTTAAACATCTTCACAAATGGACGATATTCTTCTTTAATGTGCCACAGCTCAATAGAACTATTAATTTGCTTTTTGTAATTGTTTACATAAATGGAAATCATGCGTTGCGCCCCGCCATATCAAAATGGTTCAATGCACGATATCAATTTAAATGAAAAACAGTTAAAATTTTAATTTCCAACAACAATTTTAAAAAAAATTAACAACAACATGACATCGGAATCATCATCTCTATCGACAACAATTCTTGAACAAGTTGATATGCTTAAGGATTGGATTGACCACCATTTAAAACTAATCATTTCGGAAGAGAATAAGGAGGAATTTTTATCACTTGTTAGGGAGAAGAAGTGGTTATTGATTGCAACTCCTCCTCTTTTAATGTTCCTCTCATCAATGATCAAATTATATGGAAATTATAGAAAGGTAAAGCAAATTCCGGGGGGCTTGGCCTTATTCTTTTCACCATTCAAAATTCCATTCCTTGCACCAGTGTTTTATATGGGAAATTGGAATGGAATGATTGAATATGCCAATGAAAAGGGTGATGGTGAAGGAAATGTTAGAGTTTCATTTGTTGGATTTAATTATTTCCTTGTCACTAGAGAAAGAGCTCTCATGAAGGAAATATTGTTGAATAAGCAAGCCTTTTTGGATAAGCCAAGTATTGTTTATGATATGTTTAATGTTTTTGGAGAGAATATTGTGAGTGCATTGACCATTGATTCATGGAAAAGACATCATAGAGTATGTAATGCTGCATTCTCAGTGGAGAATTTAAAGTACATGTGTGGACAAGCTTCTAAAGTTACAGATTTGTTGACTGACTTGTGGGAAGAAAGATTGAAGAATGGAAATGGCGAGTTTATGTTTGATTGTGATGATTTCTCAATGGTTACATTGGAAGTTCTAGGTTTGGCTGGATTTAATATGTCATTTGGAGTTTTTGATAAGAATGATGAAAGTGGAGGTAAATTTAAGGATGCTGTGGAGAAGATTTTCACTGTTGGAATGTTGATGAGGAGATTTTTAGGTGGCACTCCAATACTTTATCCTCTAGCTCAAAGAATATTTGGAGTTTCTCATGCTTTGGAAATTATCAATAAGAAATTGGATGCTGCCATTGAGGACAGAAGAAAGGAAATGGAAGAAAATATTGACACTTTTTCAAAGAGTGATATCTTGAGCTTGTTGGTAAAGGCAAACTCTAAGGAAAACCTCCTAACAGATCAAGAATTGAAGAGCAATACATTAATATTCGTGTTGGCCGGTGAAGAGGTACGTTGGACAATTTACAAATTTGTGTGCTTACTCTTTTATTTGAAATTATCTTTAGACCACGTCAACCACTTTACAGGTGAGTAGAAATTGATTATGTGGAATTTCTAATAATGAAAGTGGGTCATTTATGAGCTTGCTAAGAATCCTCAATACCAAGAGAAGGCAAGGGAGGAAATTGAAAGAGTTCTCTCTGAAAGAATACCATCCTATGATGATTATGATAATTTGGATTTACTTAATTGCATCTTTTTGGAAACTTTGAGATTACATCCTGCTGCAGCTGGAATTCTCAAACAAGCCAACAAGACCATCACTATTGGAAAGTATACTATTCCAAAGGATACCATTGTTGATTGCTCCATTGTTGGAGTTCAAACAAGTGAAAGTGTTTGGCCAGAAGCCTCAGTCTTTAAACCAGAACGTTGGCTGGATAGAGAGTTTAGATCTAAAGCTCAACATGATTATTCATTCCTTAGTTTCTCCACTGGTTTGAGAAAGTGCATTGTAAGTTTTTCTTCTCCGTAACAATTTTACTAAATTGAAATAATTTAAGGGATTCAATTTTTCAAAAATGGAAGCTTGCATGATTTTGGCAAGAGTATTGAAAAAGTACAAGTTTGAATTGCTTAACAATGAAGCACAAGGAGATATTGTCGTTGGTTCTAAAGGAGTAACTACAAGACCAGAAAATCTCAAAGTCAAAGTTACTAAACTTTAATCATAGTAGTGAGCAGTAAAATCAATTTGTACAATTGTAAAGTGGACTATTTAGCAAGAGGGTGCACAATCTACTCATATTACAACAGTGTTGAATGTATGCGGCTTGTTGTTGGATTTTCAATCTGAAAGTTCTTTCATATCTGATTTTCCATGGCGGATACTTCTTAACAGTTATTACACCCGCATGGATTTGTGGAAATTGGTATTTAAATCTTCCACCAAACACAATTGTATCATCAAAACAAAATCAAAAAAATGTCTCTTCTCCAAAATCTTAAACGTATTGAATTCTACACTGCTTTCATTTGTCCATATGCACACAGATCATTGATTGCTATCATTGAAAGTCAACTGCAAGGAAAATTGCCAAAGTTTGCCTCAGTTTTGAACTCTGAAGAAACCAAACCAATTTATTACAATGAAATTGACTTGCTCCTTGATGAGCAAACAAAGGAGCATTACAAACGTATCAATCCACAAGGAAAGGTACCAGCTCTCAAACTTGTATTGAACGATGATACTTCTCTGGTTGTTAACGAATCACTTGTCATTGGCGAATTCATTCAAGAAACTTTCAACCCAAATCTATTGCCACAATCAGAAAATCCAATTGAGACTGCATTTGCCAAAGCTCAGTACAAGATTTGGACTTCTTACTTTGACAGTAATTTTACCTCACTTTTCTTTAAGATTTCCTTTGAAAAACTTACAGTCGATGCTGTTATCACTGAGCAGCTCCCTATCACTCATGAGAAAATCTCATTCCTTGTTCAAAATGGTTTCAAACCAAATCAAAAGGGTAGAGGTGATTTCTTCTTTGGCGATCAATTCAGCTTATTGGATGGAGCTCTCATTCCATTCATTATTAGATTTGATTCGAATTTGAGAAATCAGTATGGTGTTGATTTGTTTAAACCTCTCCCTACTGACAATGAAACTGTTGTAGAATCATTGGCTATTTTCAAGAAGTGGTATCAAGCTGTAAGAGCTAGACCAAGTGTCAAGAAATCTGCATATGAGCCAGACTTTGTTCCACTCTCAACTACTTCAAATGCTACCAGAAAAGTACTCGTTTCAGGTTATGAAGCAACTCTTGAGGAAGAGCAATCTGGAAAGAAGAAGGAAATTGTATCTGCTACTGAACTCCAAGTTGATTGGTTTGATTATGAAAGGTATTTAACAAGAGGTTATGAATTGCGCCTTGCCAAGTTACAAAAATAAACCCTTACTCGTTGTGTTTAATTAATCTTACTGAAACAAGTTGATGTAGACACACAATTAACATAATCAACAGAAGAAACTTCCTCCAATTTGTTTCCATGTAAACTGCTATTCCTTGCCAAACATTCCAATACTTCCTTTTTACATAATGCAGTACCAACCAAGAGTCCAAATACTTGTTTCTCTACAATACATTCCTTTTCCAAGTCTTTGGCCTTAGCTGTACATTCAATCATTGCTTCATATTCTTTTGTTGCAATTTGATCTTTGATGTGAAGCAGTTTTTCTTCAATTGATTGCTCATTATCACTCTCATTGGCATAATAATTCGAAATAATATTTGTTGGCTCTTCACTGCTTGGTTTGAATTTGAGAGATTTCAAAACTGACATGATTTTAGGTCTTACTTGAATCAATGTTTCAGGTTCTGACCATCTCATCCTTCTACTTTCAAAAACTGCAAAATCATCTTGTACATAATTTGCTTCAACACAATATGTAATATCTCTATACATTTCCTTAGCTTCCTTTTCTGTCAATTGTCTTGCAGGTATTGGAAATAATCCATCAACACATCTATTAAACTAGAAATTGAACACCATTTCACACAATATTATTAGAAATAATCCAACACCACATCCACAACCAATAAACAAACCTTTCCAGTCCTAAACTTTGTATAATCATTCATTGGACAAATTTCAATAAAACCTTGACTATATTCAGCAGGCACCTTTAAATCATGAAAATATGTTTCCACATCCAAATTACACCTCGTAAAACTATCCAATAGAGCATCAAAATGGGCTTGTTGTTCTTTAAATCCCGGATACTTTTTCTCCATATATTGATCATCATAATTTATATAATCTACGAGATCGAGCGAGAAATCTCTCGTTACAACTACTACTTGATCATCGGTACTACCACCAAATAAATCAAAATTAATCACATTTTCTCCATTCGTGTTGGTTGTCGAGGTTCCGTCTTGAGAAGTTGAATTGCCCATTTTTTTAATAATATTAATTTGTTATTTATTAATTATTTAAATAGTTTTTTGCAACCAATTCCATCATTCCGATCATCAAAACAACAAATTTAATATTGAAAATAAATCCTGGTGATGATGGAACATTTCAAATTTCTACCATTCCAAAGAATATTTTATTCCATAAGGCTTGTTCCTCTTCTGGTCTGCTTGAACATCACAACAAGGCTAAAAAAAATTCGGAATCGAAACTCTTCATCAGCAAGAAGAAAAAAATGTTGAGTGATGACCAATTTAGAAAGTTGTTGGGAGTTGGCTTGATCAAAAAGTCTTCTCCAGCAACCAACAAGACAATGGAAACACAAAAGACTACACAAACCTCTCAATCCGATAATTTTCTCACTTCCTTGTTGAATTCGGATACACCTAGTATGGAGGATGATTCGTTTGGAACGAGTCAACATTCACAATATGTTGATAAACCATCTGTAGTAGTACAACAAAAACAACCAGTAGAATCACTTGGAAAGCCTTCTTCACAAAATGTAACAATACCTCCTCTCACTCATAATATGGAAACATCATCATCGTCTCCTTCAATAGTAGCAAAAACATCTATGGAAGAACAAATTGATAAAGCCTTTGATGAATTGACTCAAATGGATGATGTTGATTTGATTTCAACCCCCAAAAAGAATACTCAAACAAATAATGTAAATAATGTAAATAATAAGGACGATCAAGTAAGAGTTGAATTAATTGATGAAATGGAATATTTGGAAACAAGTTCACCAAAACCATCTTCTCCTTTAATTGAAGAACCAGAGAAGGAAGAAGAAAAAGAAATTGAAGAGGAAAAAGAAATTAGAGAAGAATCAGAATCAGAGAAAAATATTTGGGAAGAATCTGACGACAATTCTCAAACACGTCCAAGAACATCAAGGAGAAAGAGAACGCCTAAGAAATCACCCAAGAAGAAAGTAGAAACACCAAAGAAATCTCCAAAAAAGCAAACCACTCCAAAGAAACAAACTACCCCAAAGAAATCGCCCAAGAAGAAAATTGATACCGAATCTGAAGACTCTGAGGAAGAGAAGAGTAAGAAGAGAAAATCTCCAGCAAAATCAAAGAAATCTCCTGCCAAAAAGTCTAAGAAACAAGACGATGACGAATGGGATGAGAAATATAATGAGGAAATCAAAAGACTGAAGGACCAATTTGCATTGGTGGACAAGACGAAACTGGTCAAGCACACAGTTGGCAATTTAAATACTACTCACTTTAGTGATATCTATAATGAATAAATTTTGTTCACTTATCTTTTTTGACTTGAACGTTTTATTGGTTATTATTATCAAAAGCCTGTCTCACTAATCGAGCTAATCGTTTTTGATGGCCCAGTTTCGTCACTCCCAATGCTTTAAAGTCATTTTGGTCAACCAAATGTTTAATGTCGGCAAGTATCAACAATTTCTTCTTCTTGAACAACTTTTCATATTCAGATAAATCATTAATTTCCAAAAATTGTGGAATGGACATATTTTCAATCTTTTCCTTTTTTCCTTCCTCATCTCGTGAGCTGGCCCAATCTAGTGCCTTACTTAATAGCCAAATTCTAAACTCTTCTGATTTCTTTATAGAGGGATAGGTTTCAGTATTAATTTGTACAATTACATCCATCAAAATAGAATCAATCCAATGTAGATAATCCTCTTTAGGCGTCAAGGCATTGTTTAAATCTCTCTCGAACTTTCTAATAAATCTATTAGAAACATTTAATTGACACTCACTGCCATCCCTCAAAAATCTATCACAAATATTTAAGCATATTCCTCGTAAGCTTTCCTCGGTGACTCTATCTGAGTCAGATGTCATATTATTAGCAATGTTATCAATGAGTTGAATGAAGCTAACCTGTTCATCCTTTTGTTGTTGCCTCAGTGATTGAATCAACATTTTCTTTCCCTCCATACAAAAGCAAAACGATTCCAATTTCTTGTAATGTTGAATCACTTGCATTACAGAACTAAACTCAGGCGTTTCTGCTTTTGTAAAATTTGAAATACCTTCCTTTGGTATTTCAATACATAGAGACCCACTCTCAATGGATTCAAAAGAAGTATCGAGTCTGCCACTCATATCGGCCGAAGCTGAGTTTCTCTTCCCACAAGAAAAGGCCGAACTCAATCTAATTTTCAATCCTGCATTCGAAGAGGTAGGAGAAGTAGGAGGCGAGCTCAAATACGAAACATCAGAAGAGGTAGGGGAGCTACACGTTGATTCTTCGTCTTTAGTCATATTGAATCGATGGGAGAGGTCACTCAATCGAACTGAAATTGATTTACTTCCCATCAGATCACTCCACGATTTCTTGAGAAAGTTTGGTGGCATTTTGTTTTACTGTTTCAGTTCACAAACAAGATGTCGAGGCCATTGGAGATATTTCACCTTCTACTGGTGTTGATAGGATTCAAATAAATAGCAACCTGTGTTATGTTTTCCTAAAGCAAGTCAAAATTTAGTAAAATTGGGTACTCCATTTTGTTTATCTCTTATCAAGGAGTACCAACTTTGCAGAGAATCACCATTTCCAATTCAATTTAAATATATTAATAATTATGCAATTAATTCAAAGGCTGTTCATCTCCATCATATAAATGTTATTTGTTTTGTTGTGGTAATATTTTTCCTCTCTACGTTTCCGAAGATATGTATGCTGCCATTCATACTACTCCCACATTTGTTGTTTAAGGAGCAAAATAAAGTTGAATATGAAGGTAGCAAGAACAAGAAGAACTTGTTGACGAATTTTTATTTATCAATAATTTTTCCCTCCACTTTTTAAAATTTAAACGTTAAACGGTATTTGGCGCCCAAATTCAATCCACAAAATTAAAAAAAAATAAAACAACAAGAGGCATCATCATCTTTGCCGGTTATAAATTTATTTATTTACAACATCAAGACATCAACGAGTGTGCACTCACAGCAAAAAAGAAGGAGTAATATAGTACACTTTTGAGCCATATTTTGTAATCATCATGTCTAACATGAATATTTCCCAAGACGATGATCGAGAGGATGAATTTTTAAGCTCCATGAGAACGTGGAATACAGACTCCACCAATACAGGACAGCTAGTTGATGATCCTTTTCTCTCAATGCAAGGAAGCGATAGTAATATTATGGTTTCAGTAAGATTGAGACCAGAAAGCGCTAAAGAAAAAATTGAGAGAAAAACTAGTACAACTGTTCGTGTTCTAGATAAGAATGTACTTGTTTTTGACCCTGTAGATACATCACAGGACCTTCACCAACGAAGAGCTCTAGGTTTGAGACGTGGAAAAGAATTAAGGTTTGCATTCGATAGAGTTTTCGATGATACATCAACACAATTAGAAGTTTATCAAAGTACAGCAAAGGCACTTTTGGAAAGTGTCTTGGAAGGATATAATGCCACCGTGTTTGCATACGGAGCTACTGGTGCTGGTAAGTTGAAAGATATTATTTTATAATTTACCTTATTACAGGTAAGACATTCACCATGTTTGGCTCGGAAATTAGTGGACCTGGTGTTCTACCTCTTACAATAATTGATATCTTTAGAATGATGGAACAAAAACATGACAAGACTTACCGAGTGGCAATATCCTTCTTGGAGGTTTACAATGAAAATATTCACGATTTACTAGTACCACATACTGGAAAGGCAATTAATCACGAAATTAGAGAAGACAAAGTGAAAGGAATAATAGTTTCTGGACTTTCTGAACACGTTTGCGAAAATGCTGATCAAGCTTTGGAACTAATTCAACTAGGTATTGCTAACAGAACTCAATATGGAACAGCTGCTAATGCTCAATCTTCTAGGTCTCATGCTGTTTTTCAAATCAATGTTCAACAAACTGATAGAACAGCTAATATTCAAGCAGATGTAGGAATTGGAAAATTATCATTAATTGACTTGGCAGGCTCAGAAAGAGCTTCGGTCACTAAGAATAGAGGTGCCAGACTTGTGGAAGGTGCAAATATTAACAAATCTCTGCTTGCCCTCTCGAACTGTATTAATGCACTTGGAAAAAACAAGGGAAAAGGTTATGTTCCATATCGTAACTCTAAGCTTACAAGACTTTTGAAAGACTCGTTGGGTGGTAATTGCAAAACAGTAATGATTGCAAATTTGAGTCCAAGTTACAGTTGTTATGACGATACATTCAATACACTCAAATATGCCAACAGAGCCAAGAGTATTAAGACAGTAGTCAAGAAGAATATCCACAATGTAAATTTCCATATTTCTAAATATCTGAAAATCATTGATGAATTGAGGACAGAAATTAAAGAACTCAAGACACAAGCTCAAATCAAAGAACAAGAGGCTTCCTACATAGACTGTAAGAAGAATGAACAATACGAGAAGGAAAGGGATTCCACTGAGAAATTGAGAAGTCGTCTCTCTGAAGTTTTCCAAGAACAAATGCAAAATAGAAGAAAACTTCTTGAATTGGAAGAACAAGATAGACAAAACTCTCTTCAAATAATGTCAATCAAGAATGATATTGAGCGATGGTCAAGAGAACATCCAAATGAAGAGAAACCATTACGTATTCATACTAGACAAAAGGATGCTGATACGCTCATAATTGCAAAGAGGGAATATGTTTCCAATAAGGAAGAAATTGAAAAGCGTCTTCAAGATAACATTTCATACACCAAGTCCTTACAAGATAATATTCCAAAAATGGTTTCCAATAATGAGTTGCGTCAATTAGTGGATCTTCAAGTTAAGGTACATGACCAAGAGATACTCAATCTTGATTTAGAGAGAATGATCGAACACCACAAATCCAAAGTACAGAGAATGTCACTTATCTTGGAAGATAATCAATATTGCTCTGTAAAGGTATTGGAATATGTACAGGATATGTATGATCGTCTTAGAGAGACTAACAGTTTAAATCCAGATATTGAAAAATCCTACTCTATGTGTACCACTCTCCTGGACGCTATTGAAAAACAATCAACTCTTGATCATGTAAATAATGCCCAATCCCAACAAAATTCACAATCACAGCCACCACCAAACATTGAGACTGACTATGATTCAATGGTTGAAGAAGCTCTCAAAACTCCAAAATATTTACACAATGGTATCAAGAAAAAGAGAAGAAGCTCTCTTCAATTCTCATCACTCTTCCAACTCTCCTTCCCAAATAATCCAGAAGAAAGAACTGTTATCAAGCCATCAGAATTTGCTGCAAACAACTCGAAGCCAACCTCAAAAGGTATTAGAGCCAAACGTCCTAAAGACTCACGCCCTCCAAAGTCTCAATCTTCAGTCAAGTACAATAACTTTTTCTCTGAACCTATTGAAGGTGCCTCTTCTCAACAACAACCACAAATCGATTCCAACTCTGACAAGACTATTTCTCCTCAGCTATCTCCTCAAATGAGTAATCTTTCCCTCACTGATGCCATAGACAGTGGAGAAATGAATCCAAGCCTTACACCAGATGATGATTTAATGATGGACGATGGACAGGAAGTTTTATTCCTCAAAAGACATACAGAGCCAAGAGATGAAGAAACCTATCAATCTCCAACCAAGAAAGGCATAGATAGCCTTGCACAACGCCACTTTTCTCCACTCAAAAAGGCTTCAGCAGAAGGTATTAATGCTCTCAAGGAAAAGTTTGAAAAATTCAGAACTGACTATATGGAAGCAAAGAGTGGTGAGGTTAAAACTAGGGTTCGTGTAAAGAAGATTAATCTTTCGCCAACCAGAGAAACTCAACCTCCTCTCTCACCAAATCAACTGAAAGGTGCTAGAGCTAGAAAATATGATGACTCTAATCCTGAAAAACCTCAAAAGCCAAAGAGTAAGAAGGTTAAATTTGAAGCAACAATAGGTGATTCTCCTTCTTCCCCTAAACCAGTTCCTGGATATATGGCCTATACTCAATCAGCCCAGCATCGTATTGGAGCAACGACAGCTTCTAAGAAGAAACCACTAGTTCCACCAGTGTCTTTCAACTCGGATAATGATTGGATACTCAATTTGAGATCTAATAAGGAAAATAACAATGGACAATCCCATTCCTCTTCTACTTCATCCCTTCTCTTACACCCTCAACCTAATCCAAACATTCATCACCTCACTGCCAAACCTAGAAAGTCTATTTCCCTCATGCATCCTCAACAACAACCAAACTCACCTAGAACGAAATAAACCTTATTTATCATTTGAGATGTATTTGGGCGGGTCTAAGATATTCTTTGTAAAGACAGCTTGTAATTCTATCAACAATACTTTATTCATTAATCATTTCAATGATTATTCAATTTAACATAAGTTTTTACCATCTGATGAAATCAAAGGCATACATCCACTACAAACGTAAACGTAGTCTGCAACCCAATTATCAATTGCTTGATATTTCAAGTTAATTTTTAAGCATTCATTAGAGGCAAGACGAGCTGCATGTTTTGGATAATTTCTAACTTTTGGAGTTATTTATTGAGCAGTATTTGGAGTAGAAGGAGAGGTTGCTGTTTTTAAAGCATCCCTTTGTTGTTTAAACTCAGCCATTTCCTTTGTGTATTGTTCCTTATATTTGAGTTTTGTGCCTTCGTCCAATTCTTTCCATCTCTTGGATGCAAGCTTGGCCATATCATGGGCACTGCACTTTTGATTCATTGCCTGAATTTCAGCCTTAATATCTGGGCAAACTTCCTTATAAAATCTCATAAATCCTGTTGTTGGAGCACCAGAAAGGGCATTCATTTTCTTCTTGGCTTGTTTGTAGACTTCCATTTGTTTAGTATATCTTTCCTTCTCTTCTTGAATATAGCTGTAATAGATATTCTTCTCATTTTCGGAAAGCTTGGAAAATCTATCATACAATTCCTTATTAACTTCTACAAAAGCTTGATCAGTAATCATCTTCTTTTCAAGCATTTCCTTCTTTACTTCGTTAAAATGTGTGGCGGTATAGATAAGGAATGCTGATGGAACTCTCTTTGGCCTTAAATCTTCAACAGCTTTGATTTCCTCTTCCCTGGCCTTCCTTCTTTCTTCTTTCAATGATTCCACGGCCTGCTTCTTTTGTACTTTCAATTGTTGGAGTGATTTTCTGAGTAGATTCACTTCTTCATTGATATCGCTGGAAGTTGTTGCTGGTGTGAAAGTTGTTGAGGTGGTGTTGAACCTCTTAGCCATCACAGTGTGGAAACTTCTAAGTTGATGAGTGATACTAAGGATGTTCTTAGATGAGCCAAGAGTTCTGATCATGAGGAGCCTATTCTCCATTTTGCTATTCGTATATATTGTTGTTTTTTTAAAGCAAGCCTTAATGCTCATTATTTATACGAACCCCTTCCAACATCCGTAAATTTAATCAATTTCCAATCAATCAAAATCAAAATAATCATCTCTTCCAATCAACTTAAACTCTTCATCCTATTAACTTGAAATATTCGAATGTAAAATAAAGCAAAAGAGGAAAACTAGTTAATATCACTAATTCTCTTGGGTATCATTTGTGTAATGTCCATATCTCCTACATTATATCTCGGCTTTTCCAATGTAATTTCTGCCAATTTTTCATTCTCTGCAAAGAAGGGAACAAAGCCAGTGCCTGATAGCTCAACTCCTGCAATGTGAAAAGATCGATCGAATGCCTTCAATAATCTGTAATCTTGCTTTCCTGCATCAAGTTCAAAATATCCCAATCCGTTAAGCCAATGACAAAAATCATTCACTTCACTTCTCTTATCAAATTCAATGAGTTCCATTGCAGAATACTTTGAAACTGGAGAGTGTGAAACAATATCTTTCAATTCCTTTGTGTAATGATAGACTCTTCCTTTTCCTTTCTTGATATCCTTCAAATAGCCTTGAATAGCTGCATTCTTTTCCATTCTCATTGAGATTGATTTTAAAATTCTCGAAACGAAATGTTGGCAATTACACAGCAAGGGATTATAATTTTTCGTTCCATTGAACAAGCAACAGATCGAAGCTATCGATTTGAATGCCTCCATTATATCTCTACTATCATTCAGCATGCCCAAATCAATCACTGCAATGGCATTTGTTGTAATAAACTTATTCCTAACAGAAACAAGTGAATCATTGTACCAATCCAATTGCCACTGTCCAATTATCAAACCAACATGGAATATTCCAAAAGTAGCAGGTATCAGTGTCCCAGCAATACCAATCTTCTTATTAATTTGATTTCCAATCTCTGAAATGACCAACTTTACAGACATTCCAGCAGGAGTTTCCAAAGATCTTCTCTCTGGAGTGTGTCTAATTGGGAGGTAGAAATTTTCATACAAGAATCGATCTTCACAAACCCAATTCTGTACTTCAGCCACAATTTTAGCTTCCTCCAATTTTTTAGCACAAAATTCAACTGCTTTCTTTTCCTTTTTAGTTAACATTTCATCTGAGAATAATTGTAAATGATCTTGAGAGAGGGATTCCCAGTCAACTTGTTTTGCAATAATGGAATGGCTTGGGTTGAGGGAAGTTTCTAATTTGGAATATGGTGTTTCTTTCAAATTCTTGGAACGTTCATAATCTCTATTGATCTTGGCAATTATTACTCTATCAAAGAATATATTTAATTCATCATCGGAAACTTGAACTTCTTCGTATTCTTTTAATAATTTACGACATTGCTTGATGATTCTCTTTCTTTCACACGAAACTTCTGTCTGATCATTTCTATGTATCGATTGATGCAAAGATTTAAATTTTAAACCACCAAATATCAAATTCGTAGAGTTTAGTATGGTTTCGAACCTTTCGAATAAATCCTGTGGAACCTCCAAATATTTCATTAGAATTATAAAATCACCATGAGTATATTGATAGATGGGAGTTTCAACTATTCGCAATACTTCTGCCTGTTGTTTATTGCTAGAGTTGGGCGTTGATGATTTACTGTTGGTTGTTACCTTGGATGCTTTTGACTTGCCTGCTCCCATGGTTTCGAATACTGCTTTATTTTTTACCGTTTCGCATAATGTTAATCTTGTGAAAAGAGACAAGTGCCAGCAAATAACATTATGAAATTTACAATAAAGGAAGAAAACATGAAGACAGAACCTCTTCAGTATCATCACTGATGAAGTAGCCGAAAGTCTCTAATTTCTAATATTGGAATTTTCATTAATATTCCTCTAGTGCAATAAATATTTCCAAATCCAAATCTATTTGATGAGAAATTTGCGAAGAAACTCTTTCCGTCTCCATCATGCTTTGTGAAGAAACCAATTCATCATCACTTCTTTCCATCATGATGTATTTATTATTATTAAACAATAATAAAAAACATTCGGGTGATGTTGATGAACGAAAAATATATTTCCCTCTCTCGCATTCTTTAACCCTAACACCACATATGAACCATATTATAGAATGATAATATTCAAACAATCATACGCTCAGGGTGAATAATTTTCCTTCCCAAATCTTCCTCAGTTAGTATTGTATTTTTATTTTTTTTTAAAATTGAAAATCGTAACGGCTATTTGATGAACTTCAAACCAAATTAAAAAGAAATGCCTCGAATTCTTAGCTTCCGTGAGGTGATCAGGAATGATATCGATTATGCCTACCATTCCAGCACGACCTTCATCGATACAACCTACAGAAAATCGAATAAATTCATCTCCGATGGCGTTAAACAATTGAAAAACAATTGGAAGATGAGAAAGCAAAATAGAGCAGAGAAGGAAATTCATCAGAAAACAAAGGCTTTCGAAAGCGAAAAGTATGCTGAAAAGTTGAGAAAGACAATGCCTAGTTATGAAGGTTATGATCCGTATGCTAACTTGGGAGCTGGAGAAAGAATTCCTCATGATGCCTTAGTTTTTGTGCAGAAATCAATTATTGAGTTTTATAGGAAGGAGTTTGAAAAGTCACTTGATGATTTAAAGATTGCAAAGGTTTTGGATTTTAAATTGGATAATGTTTATTTGTATCATTACTTGGTTGGATATATGAGATTTTTGAATGGAAAGTTTGCTAAGTCAATTGAGAGTTATAAGAGAGCTATTGAGTTGATGGATAATGTAGCGTTGGATGATTCAGAGTTGATTGGTTCTGTAGAAAAAGCAATTGTTGAAATAGAAGACAAGATGAAGCATACCTATGACAAGATCATGGACTATTTCAGTAAGGAGAAATCTACAAAGAAAGAATCGATTGTTAGCAGGGAAGAGCTTCACTATTGTATTGGTGTGTCATATTTTAGTGTTTCTTATTATAGGGATGCTATTAATCACCTCTCTGAGGCCATTTCTAGTATGGAACTCTTGGAAAGAAATCAGGATCTTGATACTTTACTTCATCTTGCTTATTATTATAGAGGATATTCCAATTTTGGTAGTCATTCATTCACAACTGCTATCGAGGATTTTACAAAGAGTTTAGAGTTCAACAATCAAGACGAGAGAGCTAAACTAATGTTGAATAATTCAATGCAGAGAATGGGAGAAGAGCCAAATCAAATTTGCCTTGCACCACCACCAACTGCGTTCCACTATAGATTGTTGAATGAGGAAATAATGGGTCATATCTTTAGCTATTTGAGAATTCACAGCCTTAGGACTCTCTCAATGACCTGTAAATATTGGAAAATTTTATCCATGAAGAGTTTACTTGATAGAGATTTGTGCATTTTACAATATGAGGAGTTTGTTAAGGATCCTGACAATACTTTGAAATATGCAAATGAAAGTTCACTTACGGAAAAGCTCTTCATGCCAAAAAAATACCAATGTGAAATCTACACATTAATATATTATGTATTGGAATCACCATTTTTCAAACACTACAAGAAGAAACAACGTGATATACATGTCATGTTTCCAAATTTTATTTGTGCTGTTGGTGGTGCTAATAGTTATGTTTCGTACTTTTTTGGAAATTGTAAGAAATTGTACCTTTCCTGCATTACGTTTACTTCTATTTCCTACTATTATAATTCTTTTACTGAAAAGAAATATCCAGTTGAGGAATTATTCATCATCAAGTAAGTTATCTCACCACACAATTCATACCCAATTTATTCAAGTCATACTAACTTCCAATTTGAGGAGAAGCAATTTGCTTTTTTTAATACTTATCCAAATTTGAAACACGTTGCATTTGATATCAGGTCTCAAGATATTAAGCGAGATTTGTATAATCCATATTCTGTTAAGCTCTCACAAACAATAGATACATTCGAATACAGTGAATCATGTGAAGATTATATGAGAACTTTTGTTATTCCATTTAACTCACACATAACTTTCATAGCCTTTGAGAAAGGTAGAAAGGTTCCTCTTCCTTCGCCTTTTCTTGAAGAGTACCAAAGTTATTGAATACTCAAACGAAAATGTGTACGTTGTAATTGGTAAAAAGTAAAAAGGAAGTGGGAGCAATCAAGCACTTTCAGCACTTGATTAGACAGCAACCACCCTTATTCCACTTCCCCGAAAAGATCCGGTTATTGCAGCATGGTTACTCATGTATCGTTAGCATATTCTGGCGAGTTGAAGAGAAACGTGATTGGAAATAAGAAACTTGTGGTTTTAAAAATAAAATTTTAGAAATATCCATTCTGGAATGGACTTGTGTTGAATGGACACGCACAGAATGAGGCAACACAATGTTATTCATGTTTAAACTCTGTTAGTCCATAGGTTTTGGACTATTATCAAACCGAAATTGAGTGGAAAAGATTGAAAGAGCTATTGATGAGAATGATTATATAAACGGTTCACGATTAGAGCAATATCTTTGAAATTGTAATAAATTCTCTGGTAATTTACAGTACCATTATTTACAAATCACTCAAGGTATCATTTTCTGAAATTGTACTCGTTCCATCGGTTGCACTACCTGTTCCAGTATTGAGAAAACATCTCTCTGGAACCAATTGAGCCAATTCCAAATTCTTCACATTGTAAGTTGGCTTATCGAGTGTAATTTCTGAAATCTTATCCTTGGCAAAGAATGAAACATATTTGATTCCATTTTCTTCGTATTCATCGGCTACCCACATTCCCAAAGTGTCATCTCTGTTCATGTGAAAAGATCTATCAAATGCTTTCAAAAGTCTGTAATCTTCCATTCCAGAAACTGAATCAAAATAATTTAAACCATTCAACCAGTGACAAAACTGATCGAGTTGAATTCTTGTTTCGAATTTGATTTTTGAAAGTGAGGCATACTTTTCATGATGCACATTATTCACTTTGATCAGTTGTTTCAACTCAGATGTATAATGATAAATTCTTCCTTCCTTTCCCTTCTTGATATCTTTCAGATATCTAACAATTGATTTGTTTTTTGGTAAACCAACTTGTATGACCTTCAGTAAAAGGGAAACAAAATGTTGGCAATTACACTTGAATTTGTCATAGATTTTCGAACCATTGAATTCGCAACAAATCTCAGAAATGTCTTCAAACGCAGCCATGATAGAATTTACGTTTGTCAATGGTTCCAAATCAATAACAGCAATGCAACCTTTAGATTGAAATACCTTTTCAGTTGCTCTTCTCACTTTCACCACCGAATGAACATCCCAATCAAATTTCCACTCTCCAACAATCAAAGAAACATGAAAAATTCCAAACGGAAACAAATTACCCAATTGACCCATTTTTCTATTCGGTCTTTCCTCAATTTCTGTAATCACCAACTTGACAGGCATGTAAGCATCAGATTGAGGATTCACTCTACTCGTATTATATCTAATAGGAAGATAGAAGGTCTCATATAAAAACCTATCTTTACACACCATGTTCTGAATCATTTTTCTAAATTCATTCAAAACAGCTTGATGCATTCCTTCACTTTCATTCTTTAATTCTCTTTCTGGTTCTTGTAATTTTTTACAACAATTATCAAAATATTGACATTCTTCTTCTGTTAATCGATCCATTTCGAATAATTCCAAATGATCTTTTGACATTTCAAGTTCTTTAACTCTGCCAGCACTCAAAACTCTTGAACCATTAATGTCATATTTCGAATATATTGTAGGATGTTTGTAATTTTTAGTTCTTTCAATGTCCATGTTAATTTTTTCAATTACCACATGATCAAGAAAATTTTCCAAATCTTGTTTCGTCAATTCAATTCCCATTTCTATTGTCTTTCGAATAATTTTATCTTTTTTACGTTGGATAGAGTATGAATTTCTTCGGAGGATGGCAACAAATAAACTTTCAAAGTAAGAACCATGTAATTCGTATTTAGAAAATGCTTGACTAAACATTTCTTCCTTTTCAAAATTTAAATATTTCATTAGTGTGATGAAATCCGAATGTTTGTAGAGGTGAATAGGTTTAGAATCCACGGCTAACTGTTGTGATGGAGTTTCGTCTTGTTTCTTGTTGCTGGCGGATAGTTTCAAGCCCATATCTTGTGGTTTCGTTCTGATTTTTTTGTGAGTTTTGTGAAAGTTGACATTGGCTAAAAGTAAGAAAAGCATTAGGGCACATTATGCTATTTAAAATGGTGCCCTTGAATAAACTTGTATCACTGTACCACCTTCTAATAATTTCGAATTGGAAAGAAGACGAATGTTTCCAATTAACAAATTAAAAATTCAGTTCAGTTATTTCATATTGTAATGTACAACAATAAGAAACCAATTTACTTTTGTTAATCTCAATCTGCAAAGTTGTTAATTACTTCCACTTTTGTTTACTTCCATTTATAACAATCTAATTCCCGCCAACAAAATTAAAAAATATATTAAATTAAAAAATGTTGACTTGATCGGAAAGATATGTATCACAAACATGTGTGATAAATTAAAAACGAAAAGTGTTCGGGATGGTCCATTAATATCGGATGTATTAGCGTGAACCATGTTCGAGCGATCATTTAAAACATGTTTGTTCAAATCATTCAATTTGCAATAACGAGAGGATGATTGAAATGAACGTGGTGCACCCGAGGAAGAAGCGAGAGAATCCAACACACCATTACGGCCGTTATCTTGACATTTTTATTATCGACAAACGTTACATGAACATTTGTCAATTTACCAACAAATAAGAACGCAACAAAATGTAAAGAGAAGGAGAGCCACTTTATGCTTTGTAAATATTATTTGTGCTATTTTTGTAGTGTCTGATAATTCTCAATGGTTAGAACAACCCTTAATAGTGTTCATCTCTGACCAAAACAAATTATCAATTGATTCATCAATTGTTTTTTCAGCGACAGTATAGACACCCTATTTTAGAGTCTTAGCAGATATGGTTATTAATTTGGTGAGGAGGAATTGGAGAGGAACTCTTGGAGATAGAGTTTGTTGTGTCAGTATCATATTATTCTATGAACTTTCAAGCAATCCGTCATCGATAGGTAAGGCAATCTTGAGAGACTTTTTGAGGGTATTTCCACTTGCTCACAACTTCATACACACAGAGACTAAAAAGACTCAAAATAACAAACAAAATGAGCGAAATACATACAGAAACGACAGACTCTTCTGGTACCTCTAAGAGTACCTTCTCGAATAATATGAGGGAAAAGTTTGGAACGTGGATAATGTTGATGAGGAAGGGAAATCCCTCATTGAGCAAACTCTGGTTCATTACCAATTTACTGGTAGAAATATACATGTTGTGGTGCGCCATGTTCATACCGACCCTTAAAGATTATAAGTGGGGTTTATATGGGAACTATGTATTTTGGGCAGCTAACTTTCCCATTGGCTTTCTATTGGACTGGCTTAGCTATTACGATTCAGTAGTAGTAACAATTATATTCTATCTTTTTCTAATAATGTGCTACGCGATATTGGCAGTGGCTACATGGAGCAAAGCAAGAGGAAAAAAACATGGACACATCTTTTCGAAAATTCTCACAGTCCTCATGCTCATGTGTCGATTATTCTTCCCTGCTATTCTGTTTAATATTGTTGGATACTTTGACTGCTCAACAAGTTCTATGATTCCACTGACAGATTTATATTCCCTTAATAGATTTCCAACAGTGGCATGTGTGGACACACTTAATAGTATTCTGATTTTAATCTCGGTATTTTATTGTATTCTATTGTACATTTTCCTATTGTTATCTGAAATATTAACAATAGATCTTCATCCAAAGAGTAATAATTTATTCACACGTAATTCATATTGGACGAGTATTGCTATGAGAACAAGTTCATTTGTTGCTATTTTGGTAATGTTTACGATTCCAAAAGAGTATGCATTCATCTCAGCAATTGTAAATATTATAACATCAACACTGGTAATGATTAAAACAGTGAGAGGTATACCATTCTATAGAACCTATATCAATTCATTAATGTTTGGAGTATCATGTGGATGCATTACAAGCTCATGTGGAACTTTGTTGGCTTTCCTAGTCAATAATTCAGATATGGGAGGAGATGTATTCAACTACATTGGAATTGGGGTTTCGGGTTTAACGATATTATTGACCATGTTGAGTTTAATTGTTGGATTTGCAGGATTTGAGATTTATCTGCGGATGATTAGAAAGTGGCTCCTCAAAGAAATTATCAAGCAAATAGATGTCCACAAGAAATATCAAAAGCCAGAAGAAACTACAATAAGCGACAATTTCCTTCATGTAAATATTTCAGGATTGAAGAGGTCAACAGATGTTCAAGCAGCAGCAATGAGTGACGCAGGTTACAATCAATTTATTCAATATTTGAAAGACTCTCCTTTCAAGTACAAAAGACCAATACTCCTTCTCTTTCGATTGGATCTGATTAATGAGGAGGTTACTATTGAAAACGGAGAAGAAGAAATTAAACTTCACGATATTGTTATGAGATTAGGGAAAGGTATCATTCAAAGAGGATATGAAGATCGCGAAATGTTAGAATCTGTTGCCATGATGTTTGCTTTTTGCCATCATGAATCTCAATCATACCTGTCCATAGCCATTGAATTACTGGTTAAAAGTCACAGACATTCATCAATTTTCACACACGGCCTTAGCTCGATTAAAATTAAGGAAATACAAAGTTTGGAAGAAGCAGCCAAATCTGATGGTATTGTATCACCTGGATATTTCAAAATCCAAACCATCAAGAAGAATCAAGAGATGATCACTGCTCTTCATAAGGATTTTTTCAAGGAATTATTAAATGATCCTATCAAGATTTCCAACCTCAAATCAATAATGAGGAAAACCAGTGAACTTTGTAGAACATGTGAAAATCTATTTAGAACATTGCTATTACATAGAAACAAGCGTATCCTTTATCTGTATGCTAGTTATGTGGAAATTGTGTACTTTGACAAGGAAACAGCCC